GGATCTCTACAGTCCCAAGCACTTTGAATGTCGTTGGACCAGTGTAAATTTGAAACTTGATTCTGGTGTGTCTGGTTGAGAACACTCAAAACCATTGAGTTAAATTACAATATAAGCAATTCTCCATTGGACATTTTTGGCATTGTCCTAAGTGAACAAAATACCCTTCACTACATAATACACATTCATCTCCAAGTCTTTTTTCACAGAACAAATCTTCTTCAATTTTAGCACAATCTAAAGAAGGAACAATATCAGATCCATCTTCTTGAAGCTTCAAATAGTACCCTTCATCACAAATCAAACACTGTGTATCCGACATTTGTGTTTTACAATTCGCAATCAACGAAGTTGCAACCGCAATAAGGTTTAAAAGAAGGTGCATTTATTTGAGACTGTTTTCTTAGTTTCAAATTGAGTTAACTGGTTTGATTATTTTACGGTTAAAAAACAGCTTCTGCAATATCTTAAAAACCATTTTTAACAGTAATTTATCTATAATTAATAAATAATAAACTATTGTAATAATCGTAAAAATAGAAACCAGTTAAATAAAAAAACATAGTTAACAATTAAAGTTGATAAATAAAATAATAATATTATTCTTATAATATAATAGTATTTATTAAGGAAAAAACTTTATAATTAAAATTATAGATATAATACTTATTTGAGATTAAACGTCCATTATAATAGCTAAAACAATGTTAAACTAATTGTTATAAAATTTAGTTATTTATTATTTATATGCAAATTTTCAATTGTTTGTACAAATAATAAAAAATAGGAAATAATTATAATACATTTATAAATATAACAATAGAAATGTAAATAATATTATGGATAAATACATATTGTTTAGTCTGTTTGAATTTATTAATTCAAACTTTTTTTAGTTACAGAATAAATGAATTGTATATTTTAATAACAATTTTTACCATACGAATAGTTTCATTTACTGGTTTTTATATGAAAAGAAAAAATGATATAAAGTCCGAACAACATCAACTCGAAAAGAATTAATGGTACGACTTTCTCCTGACGATTTCAATAACGTTATACTGTATATAACGGTCAGTGTTCTTCCAATATTTATTAGTGTTTCCAAAACAACGTTTCAAAGTTGTTTTTGTGCAGAAACGAATCCGTGGTCATACGAATTAACAACATTTGACACACTCAAAATCATTAAGAAAACTTTTCCACTTTTAAAAACGCTTCACATTCCAAACAAAGCACTTACAACGTATTTTTCATTCTTCAATTCATCATATTTTCTTGATAATTTCACTTCAAATAAAGTGAACAAAGACTCCAACAGTTGTAATGATCCAATTCAACAGTTTTACTCAATACTCGACGTACCAAACTTTTCAAGATACTTGAAGACTTTAGTTATAACACACCCTCCGCCCGAATCAGATTATAACAACGTTGAGACGGTCGTGTTCATGGGTTTGGACTTTTTAGACAATTTCATACCTTTTAAGTGCCTTCCCAAGTTACGAAAAATAATATTTTATGTGTTAGACTTTAATGATGTAACTAAATTTAAGACGGAAATTTTAAAGACGAACTTAAAGACATATCAAGTCATATTCAAAGTATTTTACTGCGAATTTCCACAACAGAAGTTGGTAAATTACGACGTTCCAGATCACTTCCATTTTCTTGTCACTGCCAACAAACTTCAATTTCTTGTTAATAAGCAGTGGAAGTACTTTCCCTTCGACTTCACGCGCCCTTGTGAGAAACAACTGTACGACCATTTATATCTTCCATCTAGTGCAGCCTTTGTGGAGAGTGGCAATTACAATGGTTCAGCATGTTAAAATATGTGAAGATATTTGGTGCCAAAGTCACACTTCCACCTTCAGTAGAGACCATAGACCTTTGTGGAGATGATAGCGAAATTAATAACTGGGAAGACCTCACAAACGTCAGGGAAATCACAAAACAAGACGCGGAAATTGATGTGCCTTTTGAGTTTTTGAAGTACGAAAAAGTCGAAGGATGGAGGCACTTAATTTCGATGTTTTCAGTTCCTATTTATTTTGTACTCAAAACGGCACTGCTTTGTTTGTTTAAAGTCACGTGGATAAAAAAATTGCCAACTATCGATTTAGTGTTGTCAATAGATTTTATTTTTGTGAACATCGTTTGGAATGTCTGGAATATCAATGAAAGCAACTTGGCGGATGTTTTAAACATTGATCAGTTAACGCAAAGAGAAATATTAGAAGCATTAACTAAACTCAAATGGATAATGTTGTTTATATTAATACTTTTTAATTGTTTTGTGTATATGGGTGTTGATTTATTCACTGAAATCTTGTTCTGTTTCAATGCGTTTGTTTTTATATCGACTATATTTGTTGTGCTTTATAGAGGACAATATAAAATATACGAGACAGTTTACGCATATACAAAATCCAAAAGATTTACATCTCGTAAAAAACTGTGGTGATTTGTGTGTGATGTGTGTTATTGTATGTACCATAGGATTAATATTTAATATATTTTGCATCATTATTGAAGGGTTTTGGTATTTACCATTTTTTGAAAAAGCAGTCATTGTATTTGGAGCGTATTTCCACATGAAATGGTCTAAAGTCATCGCTTAATGATTGTCGTATTAATTTGATTTGATTTTTTATTTTTAAACAGTTTGAATTGTTTAATTCAAAATAGTGATCAACATCTGATTTGTTCACTTGTAATGGTAATTAATAACAAAAAATAAATGCACACAAACAGTTATCATAATTTTCTGTAATTTATTTATTCACAGTCTTATTTTTTATGACAACCACTATACTAAAAACTATTTATGCGTTATAATCCACAAAAATCACAATTTTTAATGTTTGAAATCAGGGTAATCCAAACCGTAACAATTTGTGCACTGCGTGGCATTTTTGTGACGTGGCAAACCAAAAAGACAAAAATGATAATTTCTTTTTTTTTCTTTCTGATTTACAATTTTTTGCTCTGTGGGAAACAATGAGAAACTGAAAATAATATAAAAATTAATTGTTTTAGAGTAAATTATAACGAAAATAAATTTTATTAATGAATACTTGTTGGATAGTCAAGTATGTGACATAGAATGGTGATGAATAGATAATTCATTTGGATGACCACTATAATTTATTTTATCTAACAAGACAATTGAGTGTTACAATGTTAAAATTTGGTCAATCGATTCCGAGCTATAATAAAATAACAATGACAAGATGACCACTTTAATTTATGTGGCCCCTAAGTTATTTATTTAACCAGACAGTTGGGTGTTATACAGTTGAATTCTTTATACTAATAACAGACATTGAAAAATATAAACTAATACAAAACATAATTAATAAAAAAATATATTATAACTCAAAAAATTTGACATGTTTGGAATCGGATCTACAGCAAAACAGGTAATAAGAAGTATTATTTATATTAAATAATTAACCTTCGCACCTTTTGGAATATAATAAAAAACAATTGACTCGTGTTAAATGATTTATATTGTTAATAAAAACTATACAATTGATAATGGATGGAATAAAGTTCGAGAACATAAAATAAATAAGGAGACGAATAAAGACTATAAAAGCGTGATTTGTAAATTTAAGATAATAATATTTATATTATATTAATTAAATAATCCGATTATTGGCATTTAGTTATTATAAATTAAAAATTATATTTTAATAACTATAATTTTATATTATTTTTAAGAATTAAAAATTAAATAAAAAATTTAAGAATTTAATGAAAAAAAGAAAAAACTAAATAATTATTTGTAATTGTTATTCGAAAATGCTGAAAAACACAAATTTTTATATTATCATGCTTATTTTTTATTTTTCTTTGCCAAAAACTGCTCTATTTATATCGGCCAATTCCATCCTGGTTTGGCACACCCTGTTTTGTTTACAATTATCGAGTTAAAAATATCTTTAAATTTTGAATGGTTTGTTTAAAAAAAAACATTTTGTTTAAAATTAAACTAAATATAATAATATTGTTGGAAAGAGTTTTTAATAATACTATTTTTCAAAAATATTTCAACCTTTTTCGTCGACTTAAAGCAGTCTAGTATATAATGATTATATAACATTGATATTTATGCAATTTTATTAGTGCCTTGTATTTATGTAATAAAACAAACTGACCTTTTCGAAGTCAGGCGAATATCTCTCCAATATAACAATTAATAAATTAGTGTGTTTGATTAAATTATTAATAATATTTATAATTCATAGAATGTTTGTTATAAATTATAGAAAAATAATCCAGTTTAACCAACAGATATAAAAATGAACATATGTTCAAAATTGTTGAAATTGTCAAAATCTTATTTGTATACGTTTTTCCCGTTTTTTTTAGTCAATGTCTATTAGAGTTTATTCCTTCAAATAAACTCTCGGCATCTTTATGTATTTTTTGAAATTCATTTCTAGAATAACTCCCTTCAAGAATTAAATTATTTTGTATTTTTAAATTAAAGAATAAATCCATTGAACAATGATTTTTTATTTAATTTATAGAAAAATAACTCCCACTTTAAAAAAACAATTATAAATTATAGCTTTATTTTCATTTGTATCAACCGTGTCAATATTTATAAAAGATAAATTTCTAAAAGATTTTTTCTAAATGCAATTTAACACATTTTAAATTATAAACCGAACAAAAACATTCTTATTCAAACGAGACTTCAGTTTGAAGCTCATTCATATGAAGCAAATTGAAATTGTGGGGTTTTTAATAAGTAATAAACAGTCAATAAAATAGAACACTTGTAAAACCCAAATTACAACCAATACAAACCCTCCAAAAAACAAACTTTAATAACTTCCACCTTTTTATCCCATGTTGGACCAGATATACTTGAAATAAATGACTGAAATTAAAAATGAAAATTTAAGAGATTAAGCTAAAAAGAGATACTTTCATATTTAGGCTATTTAACCTCCTCGTTGATCTTTTTAAATCAAATGCAATTTTCTGTTATTCTCTTACTTTCCTTGGCGATTCTTTGTAACTCTCAAACAGCAACCACGTCAAAATCGGTCTGCATATACGACTTTGCTGCCGTAAACTATGAAAGTGACCAAGTAGACATATTAGAATCTGAAGATTGTTATCATCAAGTACCTGATTACAAAAAGGTTATTGTTGCACACAACAGAGAAACACTCTGTTATGTTAATAGAAAGTATCTTTACTTGAACAAGACAAACAGCCGTCTCAACAGATGTGGTGAATATATGGTAATGGTTGGTCCTTCGCAGAGACCCATTGTTTGCATGGTAGCTGGCTTCATGAATTTGAAAGTCAACAACACGTTGATGACCCCAGAATTGACTGAAAGGTTTTTCGGGGTCACTTCAAAAACGATCAGCCAACTCACTGGCGGTCTTGAAGGTTCAACAAATTATTTTACTCAAGTCACGTTTTCACCCAGTGATATAGACCAAGGCGTCAACCCATCTCTCTTCGTGTTGAGCACTGATAATAACACAGCCAAGGTCCAAGTTGGCAACTCAAACCAAATTATTGAACAAGTGACTGTTGTAACCAAAGGAAAAGAAAAGATATATGGACAAAACATTGATGGCACATTCTCTTTCAAAATTGAAGATGGTATTTCTGAATTGCGACTCATATCATTTGATTACAACAAGCTGATAATAAAAAATCCGAACCTGACCATGCCAACAACAATAGGGTTGGCTTCGCGGTTCAAAGCTGTCCGACCGAAAAACTGTAAATTTGTCATTGATGATAAAATTTGGAAGGAAGGAGAGGTCAGCAATTCAACATTTATGAGATGGCAAGTTTGGCAAGTGAATAGAAATGGGGAAGGTGCAATGTACGATTTCACAAATGAACAGATGAAGTTGACGTCGAATGAAATCATCGATGGTAAGGGCTTTTTATCAGTAGGTTTCTTCTATCCCACTGAAATGTTAATATCACAAGACTTCAAAGAGTTAGTTGTTGAGTTTGAAGTTGAGAACACAGATAACTATGAGTTCGCTAGGACTATTCTTGTGAGGAACAGGGAATATGGTAAAATCAACATAGAAACAATGGAATACATAGACACTAATTTAACAACAAAGTTCTATCTGACTGGTGACAAAAAGACAATACATCTAAGAGCCGCATTTAAGAATACTGACTACTCATTCACCAATCTCTTTGCTTTCAGTGGGTTCGTCCCTATAGGGTCTTACATCATTTTGAGAAGTGCATATTTAACAAGAAGTGATGCAAATGATAACCAATACCATTGCGACCACCTTTCATGGGACTGTGACAATATGGAGTGCCGGATAACAAACACATCAGTTGTCGATGGTACTAACCACTGGTCCGAATTCTGCAAACCTAATTGTGGGACATGTCGTGACGGGTTCGTTTGCACAACTGGTGGAAGATGCATTTCAGAAATCAATGAAAACATCAGAAGTGGCCAATTGGCAACCGTCTGTCTGTTTGTTTGCCTATTATTGATTTCATTGTTTTAATTGCATTTTACTTAGGTTTTGTTATAGTATTTTTATAGTTAAATATACTCAATATTTTAACTATACTGAAATAATAAATTAATAATACCAATTATTATGTAAAATATAAAACAATTAATTATAATTATATAATTTATTAAAAGTATAATATTTATTAGTATAAAAATAACATTAAAAAAAACAATTAATTATTATAATTAATTTATTATAATTTAATTTACACATTCGTATTTTTTCAAAACATTTTTAGGTTGTTGTATGAATATTCTCATACTCAATGTTATTCTATTTTCAATTCAATTTTTTCAGCATTTGATCATTGTTTTGAGTAAACACACAACAATATTCTATTATTTTTACCAACTCAAACAAAATTAAAAACATAGAAAATGTAAATACTACTATAAAGACTGTAACAATTACTTTCATTTCTTCTTTTGAGACAATTTTATTGAACATAACATGTATGGGCATAATATACCTTTCCATATGTTTTTTAAACCAAACAAAAACATTTGAAAATGCTTTTTTCAAATAAAAGACCAAATAAAGTACTCTTAAGTAATGTTCTTCTTTGTTTTCTTGACTGCTTGCCTTGCAGCCTACTATGGCGTTGATGTTTCACAACCGACTGATGCAGGATCAATCCAATGCCTCAGAGACAATGGGTTTAATGGGTTCTTCATCTGCCGATCTTGGTGTTCTCCTGGGTACTTTGACGATAATGCCCCATATACTTTAGGACAAGCGCAGTCTGTAGGATTTACTGGTGACAATTCCGAGGTGTACTTCTACCCATGTCTTTCATGTGGCAATCCCGAAGGTCAAGTCGCCGACTTTTGGCAACAAGTATATAACAACCGCATGAACTTTAAGCGTGTCTGGTTTGACATAGAAGGTGATTGGTATAATGATGTTGGTAGCAACAGAGACTTCTTCGAGCGGATGATGAACGAAGCCAACGCCGAACAAATTGTCAATGGTGTTTACGCATCGGCGTACTATTGGGGAAACATCTTTGGTGATTACACTTGGGGTGGTGCTTCTTATACCCCTTTGTGGTATCCTCACTACGACAATTGGGATAGCTTTGGTGATTTTGGCGGGTTCGGTGGGTGGTCTTGGCCAACAATGAAACAGTACAGAGGGGATGTTTCAATCTGTTCTGCTGGTGTTGATTACAATTACAGAGAGACCATCGGATAATTCAATTCGTTCTTAAGTCGAGTTTTACTATTAAATTATTAAAAACTATAATTAGATAATTATAATTAATAAACTATAATTTAACTAGTGAGGAAAGTGTGTGTTGTGGCACAGAAGCAGTTTGTCCCAACGACTTCGACGCTCTTGGGGATATACAGAGACTCTAAACTGTTACACCCATAGAAACAATAATCTCCCAAATTAGTAACAGAAGTTGGTAAGTCGATATTTCCGAGATTTACACACCCCGAAAAGCACCCCTTTTTGACTTCTTTCAAAGGCGTTTTTGTCAAAGAAAGGTGTTTAAGACTCTTGCAGTCAGTAAAACAATACTCTCCAATGGTTTCGAGGTAACACGGCAAATGAAGTTGTTCAAGGGAAGAACAGCCATAGAAACAACACCCCCCTAAAGAGGTAAGATGCTGACTTAACTCGATCTGACTCAAATTCTTGCAGCTCTGGAAACAACCAAAAGCCAACGAGCGGACACAGTGCGGTACAGTAAAAGTACTTAACGAGTGACAATTTGCAAAACAACAATTTCCTAGTGAAGTAATCGAGTCGGGAAGGACGACATTTTTGAGGTACATGCACTCCGAGAAACAAAATTCGGACAGTCCGCGCACACAACTGGGAACAGTAAATGTCACAAGTTCCGTCGCTTGCAGTGCTTTTTCCTCAAACGTTGTTTGTTGCGTATTTGATGTGACGCTGCGGCATTTCTTCAAATCAAGGCGAGAGAAAATGACGTTCTTGAAGTCAAAATTCTCGTTCTCAGACATCAAACATTGTGTATAATCGGTTGGTGTCCATATGACTCTTCTATAGAATTTAGTGGACGAGAAGCTATAGTCTTTTTCGGTGTACAAATGGAACGTTTCAATATGTGGGAAGAATTTGAGAGTGAACAAATTGAGTGGAATCGGGTTATAATGGAACTTGGACATGTTTCCGTTGAACTTCTTACATACAAATTCAATGGATATAAAGTCTTCAATGGTAGAAAAGTACTTTGTGACTATCATACAATGAAACGCATCAAGCCGTTTTGGGTTGGCTGACATGTAAATACACAATTTGAGAGATTACTGGAAGTATTGGAACATTTCTTGGATTCGTTCTATCGACTAATGTATCATTCTATAGATTCAATATACTATACTTGAATAGTTAATATAAAAAATAGACGAATTCAACATGAATTCAATGCAATAAATTAACTATTCATAATTAATTTTTATACTATATTATGATAGTCATTTTTCATAATTAAAATAGTGTCATTAATTTATTATAAATTATAAATTTGTTTTTAATTTTATAGTTTTATAGTATGTTAATACATAAAAAGGTTGATAAAAACATAGGAAAAAAGGCCAAATTACATCCTTTGTCGCTTATGAACGTCCTCCCGTTATTGAGGATGTTTTTATGATATATAATATCTTACTTTAATGATTTTGTTTGCATAATTTTTTGAACTATATAACGAGTTATAATTTTATTATTAATTTAAGATATAAAAAATAAAATAAATTCAAAAAAATTATGAACAATATCTATAGAACAAGAAATAGTAATATAAAAAAATAATTATTTAAAATAATTATAAAAATTAAATCATTTTTTATATTTGCCATTTCAGTCATTTTGACTTGGCAATTTTAACTTGTAGACCTGATACCTCGCCACTTGAGTATGATTCATCAACGCACAATGGTGATATAATCATTTCTCTTTAATAATTGATGTAAACATGCAAAAAAACACTTAATATTTTATAACAAACAATTTTAAAAGACATTTTTGTATTACATTTTATAATACAATATATTATTTTATTTTTTTTTCTAATAACAACAAATAAATAAAAATTGTTTACAAAACCATGAATATTTAAGTATTCATTCAAAAGCAACAAAGTACTTTGTTGCTTTTGAATGAATACTTAAATACTTTTTTTGTTATTTTACCAGAGGTTTCCAAAATCACAATCCTGATTACCCACGTCACCATTTCATAACCAAAATGATCATTTTCTCTTATAAATTCGTACGTTATAATACCACATTTTCGGCAATAATTATTTTGGAAACGCCTGTATTTTACTCAGAATTTGTTACAATGTACATCATTATACTATTATAAATTATTTTTGGTATTTTACTTAATTTAATTTTATATTGAAAAGTCAAATATTTTTTGTTTGTAAATCACTTTGCAACTACCAACTCCATTTTTGTATTATCCATAATAATTAGTTATACATTAATAATAATAATTTATAATTATCTAAAATAGATTTTAAGAAGGTGTTTTGATCTAAATATAACTTCAACACAGCGAAGTAATAGTTGAATTATTAATAAAATCATTATTTTGATAAATTCAAAAAATACGAATTAAACACAACAATTAAATAACCAGTTAATTGTTAATGTCGACAAATTTCAGTGTAATGTCCAAAGTTTTTTTATATTATAGTAAAATATAAGTATAATAAACCATATTTAAAACGATTTAAGACTTGGAGATTAAAATGTATAATAACGATGTTTATTGGAAACTAAGTTACATGAATTTGAAAAGGTAATTGTTATATAGTATATCTTTAATAATCTTAATCATATCGAAATTTCAACCAACAAACCAAAAAATAAAATTAATGTTTCCAGATGCTAGTGTTTGTCTTAGTTCTCATTGCTTTTGCGACATCGCACACTCTAACTATAGTGTTGGTGACGGCTCCAAAGCAAGGGGTGATGTCAAAAGCACTTTTACGTACAATGAAGGACCTTTTTGTTGCTTTCAAAAACATGCCTTCTGATGTGGAGATCAGTAAATTTTACTTTGTAAAGGGGTGTATGGATGACTGCGACTTTCCTGATTTAGAAAAAGTCACACAGATTATGAAGGTCGAATTTCCAAACATACCTGTAATTACTTATTGGCCTCATTTACTAATCAAAGAGGGAGCATATCCATGTGAATGGGGGAATGAGTATTATTCCACACATTACAGTCGACTGGGTGCGCCAGTTTGGAGTGATCAGATATTTAGGAAATACATGACAGTCAATTACTTGTTCAGATCTGCACTGCACCACTCCATTAAGACACATCCAACAGATTATTACCTGATGGCAGAGGATGACCAAACGTATGAAAAATACACATTTGCAGCAATCAAAGAGTTGATGGAAAGAAACAATAACACGAACAAAAGGTGCTTCTCTAAAATAGCGATTCCCAGAGGAAATTATGGTAAGTTATACACAGACGATATTTCAAATGTCAATAAGTACATTTGGGGGGCGTTTGGTGTTCTTCGGTCGAAAAGTGAGACAGAGCTGTTTCTTCGTGGTCTCAAATATTCAAATTATCACGACTCAGAAGATGGTGTTGCCCATGTCATCTGTAGGTTTGTCAACAGAACAAATGTTGAATTGAATGTCGTCTCGCAGCACTTTGGAAGAAATGGGAAAATACCCGATTAAATTTTAGTTGAGAGAATGTTAAATGATTATTACGACTATCATTTTTGTTTGTCAGAACTAAATCAAAAAAAGTATTTTAAATTATTAATAATAAAAATATAATAATATTATAGTATGTGTTTATTTGATTATTTTATAAAATAATGAGTGTTTTGTTACACGACATATAAGTAACAAAATGTTATTACATGAAATATAAAAAGAGTTGATTAACTTATTTGTTTACTCAATTGTGTTTATCAAATTTAAATATTGAAACAAGTTGTGATTTTTTAAATAGTTTTAGACCCTTTTGGTGTACTCTGTAATGTTGTCTTTTATATTATTCGTAGTCTTTCTTTTTCATATAACTGACTGAAAAAAGCATGTCAAAATTAAAAACATCTTTCGCGTCAACTTCTTCATTTATCGTTTTCACATCATTGTCTTCGAAATATTCCACATACAACACTTTGGCATTGAACTTTGGATTAATTTCGGAAAAATTGAATATTTAATGTTTCCAACCGATTAGATTATGGAATAGTTCAATAATATAGGTTAGAAATCTTTGAATGTATTGAATTTGATAACAGAATAGACATCATAATTATTACAAGTAAAATAAAATGATGTGATCGAGACATATTGACCCAAACCAATTTAACCCTTCTTATACCAGAAATATGATTGTTATAACACTTATACAAATGAATATAAACTCAAATCTAAAAACTAAAAGTTATTCTAAAAAAACAGTATTTAGTTTTAATATTATTTTTTAAAGTTCTGGTTTAATGTAACATTTATAAAATATAAAAAGTTTGGACGTTTTATTTTTTTGTTTGTAATACATATATTAAGTCTAACACTCTTTGATCATACAAATTGGTTATAACATATATATTATAATAACGTAAAGTAATCTTTAAAACGTTTTCATTTAAATTTGTGAAAAAGGTAGTAATTTTGTTTATACACACTTGGTTTATTCTGTGTAATGTTAAACCAAAATAATGAAAACGATAATTAAATTAATAATTTTTGTAAATTATTGTTTACAAAAATTGTGTTAATTAATTTAGTTTGGATAAATAAAAGGTTAGTTTTCACGAAAAATTTATTCTTAAAATATTAAAATTTATTTTTGAATTTTTTTCCATGTTTTTATTTTTACAAATTGACTAAAAAAGCAAACTGGTTTTAATGTTTTAGAAAAGGTATGTTTTAAAATATTCAAAAATATTAATCAAGTTAACTATGAAATTTAATATATAGAAATTGTGGTTTACCACACAAAACCTTATTAATATTTTGATTTTTATATAACAATCTTTTTTTAAATTTTTAGAATAATTATGAACGTACTAAAAGTAAAAACCGACTTAATGAATAACATTTAATGGTATTTAAATTAAGCATATTTTTTTCAAAATATTATCCCTTTAATTTTTAACTGATTTCTAAACGAAGCCGAAAAAACTTTGAAATTACATGCAAGTGTTTCAAAAAGTGCAGCATTAATGAATATATCAATTGTTGCTCATATTCAACAATTATATTAAACATTCATTTACTAATATTTCGGGAAATTTTTTCAATTATAAAACAACAAAAGTTTTTGGAACAAATTGTTTAATTTCATTTTTAAGTGAATTTATAATGCAAAACATCTTTTTTTAATTTCCAAATTCGAAAATACAAAATTTTAGGTCGAATTTAATCAATGACAGAAAACTAAAAACCGACACTATGATCACCCCGAGACTACTTGATTGTTCCGAATCAATTTGTTTTTCTTCGTTTTCTGAAAGTCAATATAGAACAAAACGATGTGTAAATTCGTTGACCGAATCGGACTATCCTCTCTATTGTGAAACTGCTAATTCCTATCACAGTTGGTTTTTGACTTCTGAATTATTAGAAAACAACGTTTTTAATATTAAACAAAGAAGTGGCACTTTGCCACTTAAATTGACTCCCAAATTATTTTCTTCGTATAGTTCTAATAACTTTTTAGATCTTACTTCTGTGCCAAGAATTACATTGGAAGAATGTGATCTGTTGCAACGAACAAACAAAATAGTTTATTATACTGATTGCAGATTTCCTTATGAATATGAAGAAGGAAATGTACCCGGTTATTTAAATTTATGGAACGAACAACTATTTGCAGACTTTTTTGAGTCAAAAAAGTTTGATTTGGATATTACTGCTTTTGTATTTTATTGTGAATTCTCAGACAAACGAGCACCATTTATTATTCAATCGATTAGAACTTTGGGGCTTCATTCTGGTGACTTCATACCACGACTCTTTGTCCTTGATAGTGGATTCTATGGAATCTATACTCATTACAAAGAAGTAGTCGAAGGCAAGTATCTTGAAATGGTTTCCGACAGATATAAAAAAGAAAGAAAAATGTACCAAACACTTACTCCACGTTCTACACCTTTGACTCCTAAAAGACCAATCATTCAACGAAGATCGTCCACGTTTACTTTTTAACAACAACAAATCATTTCATTCAATTTATTATTATTTTTTTGTTATAAAGTCTATCTAAAAACGTTGTCCATTTGACAAAAATTTACACAAAATAAGTCTAAAAAGTTGGGAATTAGGGGGAAATGTTGAAAGCCCGGTAAAATTTATTAAACAATGTTTTGTGAGTGTTTCGAATTGTTTCCCGTAATATTCCAGTTTTAATGGGCTAAAAATGCCCGGACAACGTTAGAGAGCGGACAACGTTTTTATACTGACAATTTATTTTTCATGAATAAATAACAATTTGAAAAACTTTAATAGAATACAACATTATTAAACTATATTATAAAACATTATTTTCCATTAAACAAAAATAAAACAAAAAAATATTCAATTAATTTCAAAACCACTTGTAATAGTTTTAACATTGTAATATTTATTTTTCACATAAGTATTTCCAAGTGTAATTGCAAATCTATTTTTTAAGTCTTTTGTTTTTATCATAATAAAAATTTATACTCAGCACATTTTGTGTAGTGATATAACCGATTTTTTATATTTCAACATGATTAATTGTTGTAAACTTTACAACTCAACAAAATTTAACAACTTTTTTGTTATTTCTTGAGAAGGTTTATAATATTAATATAATATTTAATATTAAATTAAAACAAATATTAATATACAGGAGTGAAAGTGGACCTGTAAAAATGAAAATGAAATGTAAAAGCAAGGGTTTAGTAGATAATAATAGCTTTTTTTTACACCAAAAATGGCTTTTTTCACAAAAATAAAAATGACAAAATATATGTGGAATGATTTGAATTGATATTTTTAAGAAAATCAAAATCAACCATTTTCAACTTAAAAATGTTTGATCTAAAATAATAGAAAAAATGAAAAAACTAGACAAAAAATTCATGTGGTTTCTTCAGAAACAGTATCTCATTTTTTTCGAAGTTAAATTTCAATGTTGACAAGAGTGCATTCTTGAAAATATTTCACTAGATAATTATATCAAAGCATCACCGACAGTTATCGACGGCACAATGAGTGAAGAAAGAACTGACTGTAAAAGTTCCTTCTTGTTTTGTGAAGAAGACGAGAAGTTTTATATTAGGAAAGAACGTCATCAATTGGTGGTCAATCAAAATTATTTGTCCGAGAACCTTGATGAATCTATTCTAACTCCAAAACAATTCATTTCTCGTTTAGATTTTGAAACTAAATACGACGAAAATATAAGGGTAAAAGTCAGACATTTCTTCTATAAAATACTTGCTACTGAAGAATTTGGTCTTGCGTCGGAGTCCAGGCAATTACATGTTCATTTCGTTACAACAAAAGTGGCAGAATTTAACAAAGACAATGGCGGGAGAGCACACATTATCGACTACACTGTTTTGGGAAACGTTTACAACATCTCACGAAGTGAAATATCAAGATTTAAAATCCAAGAAAGAAGTCTATTTGCAACTAAACAAAAACTCATGTCTTTTGTTTCTAAATTTCTTAATTGGAGAAGAAACGTTCGATGAATAGTTAATTTAATTAACAAAAATTTGTTTTTTATCGGATTGAAAATGGTCATTCAACAATTTTGGACGAATTGATAAAATAAACTAAAATTATTATAAAATAAATAATATTTTTAATTACTTATTTGTTAAGGGAACAAAATAGTGGTTTGAATAACAATTATGACCGTTAAAATAAATTATTTAAATATATTATTTAAACTATAAAATTATATATTGTATTTTAACTTTTTACCAAACCCCGTTAAATTGTATTAAACTAGTGTTTTTAAAAAACCTTACCCATTGTAAGGCACTATGGTCCACCGACCTTTAATATTGCGTTTATTACACAACTTTGAGAGTAAAAATGTTCTTGTATTTGTAATTCCAAATTGCCGAATTAACAATTTCCTCGAGAAAACATATAAGTTTGTTGTTCATGTTTCTCTGACAATTAAATACTGACCTATAGGTTATTTATTTTATCATTTATATTACAATATGATGTACTTTGTTTGGTGTGTTTAATTTGATCACTCTGAGGTGATCCAATAATTAAGCTAAGACAATAAAGATTATTTTTGATTTGTTCTCCTCACAATTACAACAAACCTTCGAACCGAAGTTAATAAACCTTTTTATTGGTCAGATACAAGAGGCTTACAAATGTATTTGTCTCGAGGGCTTGTTAATTATATTCAATTGTTTCTTTGTGTAGAAAGCATCGGACATGGAGCTAGCTCGGTTTCGTATTATTTTTCCTCTTTTTCCCTTTGTTTGGTTCAATTTATTATTAGCTTTTTATAATATTTCGAAAGTGTGAATTTAAATATAATTATTAATTAAAAAGCTAAAAAAAGTTAAATAATTATTGCAAATTTAGTCAAACTCTCGAAATATTGTCTTTTTTATCCTTGTTTTTTCGGCTATTTTTTGAAAAACAAAAACAAAAACAAAGGGTTTTAGTAATTGACCAATCAAAATTAAGTTTTCGAAACTCTTGTTTTTACATTTCAATTTCATTTTTACAGGTCCACTTTCACCCCTGTATTAGTAAATTATTAAAATAAAAAATTTTATTAGTTTTTATCAAACATATATTATATTTTCTGATAAATAAAGAATTATGAAAAAAAAACTATAGAGTCTGTCTTTTACTATTATCTGGTGCCATTTGGACTATTATTTCTGAAATATTTCGAGAAAATAACCCGAAAATCTTAATCATTTCAGGTTTTACCACTTTTTACCAAATGCCCGATGTTTACTTAAATTCAAAACCAATTTTTGTCCACAAAATAACGTTCAAAGACTGACTCTATTGTTTTATTATTATTAAATGAAAGTCTAAAATTAACCAATTTCGAAATTATTTTGTTATTATTTTTTAAAGGCGAAATTTTCTTGTTGCTTATGGATTAATTAAATTAAAAAATATAATTAGTTTGGAGTTATTTTATAATAAAAACAAGTAAAAAAAATCCACAGAAAATTCGTATAGAAAAGTTGATAAAATACTATATGTAAAATAACGGGAAACACAATCAAACGACAAAACTTTTTTTACTATTATTTTACTTTCACTACAAAATCACAATTGTATGACTTTTGCAATAAAAAACAAAAAAAAAATATTTTTGAATAATAATTACCAAATCATTACATTGTATCATTTTTATTAATTTTATTATTATTTAAAAATAATACATTGAAATGTATGAATTAATAATTCCATTTTTCCAAAAAAATAAAATTTATCACATTCCAAAAACCGTCCTTTTGTATATGATTGAACTTTTTGATCAACTTCATTCCAATATGATGATCTTGCTACCCTTATTGATTTTCAACGTTTTTGCTTTGGTTGACGAAAAGCAAGTAGTTGAGGAAATTATTGACCGTGACAAATGCGAGACGTGTTGCCGTGTACTATTTGCTCTTGAGTACGACCCTAATACCGGTAACAAAATTCCCAACAACAGCCAGAAGCAATATGTTATGGACGTCGAGTTTGACACCGTCTCTATGATCCGAATAGACATTAATGCGGACAACGTCCAGAAAATGCGAGTGCGAGACTTACAAACCGCTCGTGATCTTCAGTACTGGGAATTTGCTTCTTATCAAATGTTCTGTTTATACTCCTTCCCCAATCGAGTGATGGACATTTTGTTTAACACAAAGTTCCAATCGCCACTCATTATTTGGAGAAGAAAGGCTCCTTTGGATCCAAATACTAACAACCAAAGATTCACTTATATCTACGACTACTCATTCATGGATAAAAGACACTCCCCCTATGCAAAAGCTTTTATTGCTGAATACTATCAAAAAGTTGACAATTGTAATGACTGGTGGTACTGTAATGAACACCAAGTCAATTATGACAATTACAAGTACGTTGGAAAAGAAATGTGCTTCCATGTATTAAATGATAACGCACCAACTTACTGCGGCGTAAGTTACTACAACAGTTATTCAAGTACCTGCAGCTCAAGTTACTCGAGCAGCTTGAGAGCAGAAGATTGCAGAACTTCTCCTGCTGACCAATTCTACAGACAGAAATTCATTCCAATCTTTGCTTAGTCTTATTTTTCTTTCACTTTTGTCGCTTTTAAGTCTTTTCATTCCATTTCTTATCAATCTTCTCCAATCTGCATTGATATCAGAGAACCTATTCTTTCTAATTCTCAAACTAAAATTTAATAATAAAAAAAATCTTCAATACCTTCATTATCACATGAGCATAAATTTGTCTAACATATTTCCTATCACTTTGTAGTTTTTTGGTCAGAAAAGACGCTTTTGCCAACAACGTCCCTTCTGGCGGTTTTTACTTTGAGTGCCTCTGCGTTTTCCTCCACAATAGTTTGGTATAGTTCTTTTTCATGGAATGTTAAAGTCTTCACAAATTGCGTTGATTCCTCATTAATATGGAATGCTCTATCATACAGTAATTTGATTCTATCCAGCATCAACTTCCCTAGTTCCTCGACCATAGCGACGTCTCCTATTTCCTTTGCGATAGCTATTCCTGCCTCAAAGTAAAATGGGAACTTCGAGAGGGTACTTTTTGTCGGTTGGTTCTTAAGGAAGTCTCCTGTGGCCTTAATGAATTGTCTGCTGTACTGTTTATTATTCGACGAGTCGACAACAATTCTGACGTACCCGTTCCGTTGAAGTGTTCGTGCAAGCCACAGCGGAACTTCAAAAGTCCTTCCCTGTGGAATGGCGTCGTCGTCTTTTTCCGGTTGTCCCGATTCCACTGAACGTTGTGTTTGTGTAATGATCGCAAGAGATGGAATGGTATTAGATTTGCTCTTATCTAAGAATCCAAGGCCTTGGATCTGTTCGATCGCTTGCACTTGAATGATCATCTCCTCACTCAAAACGGAGAGAAACTGACCGTCCATATGTCTTTCTTAGTTAATTATTTCTTGGTTTACTCTTTTTTAGATAAGAAAATAATATCTTAGGCATTTTTATCCTGTTTAATAGGATTGTCGGCAAGTAATATCTCGTCACTTTTTTCTTCATTATTTTATCGGTAAAATGATAGATTATTTCGTCTTTTAATATTCCATTATAAATTCAATTACAAAAACAAGGGAAAAGTGACATACTGAGTGTTAAAAATGAATACTACTTCATCTGTCGCAGTCTGCGGCTTTATACGCGTTGATAACAGCAGACGCGAAGTTGTCATGGTCCAGCTGGTTAACACCTTTAATAGTGATTCCTCCCGGGGTACACACTTTTTCGATTTCCAGCGCTGGATGGGTATCTGATCTTTCCATTATTTCAGCAACTCCCGCAAATGTTTGTGCCACAAGCTTTCTTGCCTCATGTGGAGGTATTCCCATCTCGACTCCGGCTTGTGTCGCTGCTTCAATGTATTTGAACACAAAAGCCATTCCACAAGAAGAGAGCGACGTCATTGCTGTCATCATCTTTTCCTCAACAAAGGAGACACTGCCCACCTCTGAAAACAACTTTCCAATCAGTTGAATTTGTTCTTCTGTAGCATTTCTCGACGATATGAGTGTTGCGCTCCGTCGAACACTAATCGCAGTGTTCGGAATGACTCGGAACAGACTATACGACTCGTCGCCAAGCATCTCAGAAAGTTCGTCAAAGGTGATCCCCGCTGCTACGGACACAACAATTTGTTTCTTATTCGGTCGGATCTCTTTAATCACCTTTTCTATTAAATATGGCTTAACTGTTAATACTATAACACTCGCAATTTGAATCGCTCTCTTATTATCTGTCGTCACATCGATGTCAGGGTATTCCTTCTTCAATTGATTCAACTTCTCCATCGTTCTATTAGCTGCATGTATTTTATTTTGTTGAAAAAATGTCCCACTCGCAAGTCCTCTCACTATGGCACCTCCCATGTTACCGGTCCCAATCACACTCACCTCCATTCCCTCCATCAATTGTCTAGATATTGAGTTCTAATAGTCCAGCTCTACTATTGTATTATAATTATAGTATTATTCTAATAAAATAACTGTTGAATATAAAATATAGTATATAATAGTATATATTTTAATACAATATTTTAGAATGAAGTAATTATTTTAAATATAATATATAATAGATATTATTATAATACAGTAATTTCATATGAGCAATTAGTATAAATATAGTAAAAATGTATTAAAGGAATAGTACCCATGCACTTGTTAATTTCAATATTATTCGACTGGTTTGTCTTGTTGAGTTTCTGGTTCTGCTTTGACTTTTTCTTCGCCGTCTTTGTTGAACTTGACTAACTCACAGTCGACGACGCCATCTTTCAAGGTGTATTCGTAGATAGACAACTCCGAATCATTGATTTCAAGGAGCATAAAGGAAGGGACGGGATTTGAGATCAAAGGGGAATAAGCCCCGGTTGCACTTCCCGGGTTCAAAAAGAACTTTCCCCCGATTTGTTCCGACTTGAGTTGGTGAGTGTGTCCGGAGATCAAGATGTCGACGTCGAGTTGTCGTTGGTAAATTGCTAAAGCCTCTTTATCACCCCAAGGAATGATCTGATGGCCATGAATTAACCCAATTTTAAAGTTCCCAATTTTGATCACTTCCGTCTCGTTCAAACCAGGCATCTCATCGAAGTCTCCTTTAACCGCATGAACATCACGAGCAAGAGTGCGCAAGATGTCATAAGTCTCTTTCCCACACAAATTGCCGGTACACAACACACTTTTGATTCTGCCCGTGTTCAAGCGGTTCAAGAACAACTGTGGGATGGCTGCAGTGCGGTGCGGAATATGAAAGTCTCCAATTACTAAAACTAACTATTTTATTAGTATTATTACTATTATTAGTATTATTCGAATCATGTGAACTATGGAAATTTGACTTTAACTGTTAAAGTCGTTTTGGAAATGCTTCACAAGTAATAAAGTCGTATAACAAACCATAAAACTTCTATTATACAGTTCATTGTTTACAGTTCTTTCGAAATTTCTTTACTTAAAAGAAGAGATAGAATTATGAGGAAAGATAGAGGAATTAATAGAGATTGTATTATAATAATATTAAATGGTATGTACTATTATTTATTATTTGTTTTACTAGTTTGTGTATTCGTTAGAAGACTGAAGAATAAAAAAAACTAAGTTCAACCAGAAAATTATTTTGATCATTTAATCTATCGTAATATTAGTAATATAGTTTATTTTACTATAATTTATTTTAATATAAAGTTGTTATAATTTTAATTTAATTTTACCATTGTATATAATATTGTTAGAATTAATTTAGAAAAAATTTTAAACTATATATAATATAAAGGTTTATTATATATAAAAACTAAACAATAACTAATAAAAAAAAATAAAAATCAAAAAAAGTTAATTTGTATTTTAATACAAATTATTTTAATACAAAATAAAGAGAAAGGACGGACATGGGTACGAAGGAGGGCAATATAGGCCGAAGGACGTCCTTTGTGGTTTAAGGACGTCCTCCCTGTGTATATGGTGTCCTTTCTATTATTTTCGTGTCCGCGGCATTTTTAAAACTATATAATGAGTTATAATATTACTATTAATTTACTATTATAAAATATAATTATTTCCAAAAATAAATTTAATCAAAGACAAATTTTAAACAACAAGTAATTTTGTTATAAATTAATGGTTTTTATAAAAAATGCAAATTAAATTAGTTTTTCAAAGAAAACTCAATGGTAAAATGAAAAAAAATGATAAATTTTTATAAACCAATAATATATAACAAAATTACTTGTTAAATAGTTTTTGTCTTTGAATTAATTTATTTTTGGAAATAATTATATTTTTTGATTGTATATTTATCATAAAAATATACTTTGTTATATAGTTTCGATAATGAAAAAAAAATGCCGCGGACACGAAAATAATAGAAAGGACACCATATACACAGGGAGGACATCCTTTATAGCGGGAGGACGTCCTTAAACCACAAAGGACGTCCTTCGGCCTATATTGCCCTCCTTCGTACCCATGTCCGTCCTTTCTCTTAATTGTCGAATTTTCAAATAAACAAATATTTAAATAATTATGATATATATACTATAATATATAGTAAAAAAATAAAAAACATTGTATTGTAACAATTCTAATAATATCCCAATTTTTTTCAACTTCCATTTTTCAGCAAAACATGACAATTTGTTTTACAAAAATAGAATTGTAATTCTACTTAACTAGAACATTAGTAACTCAACTAGAAGATTGATATCTGAATAATTGAAAAATGTAGTTTGTCACGGAGTTTATGATCAAATTAAAAACAACCTTTTTATCTTGTTGTGACCAATTATCCTAAACACTTCAGGAATAAAGAATATAAAAAGGTAGAAAACCCCAATTTATACCTCCTTTTTATTGTTGATTAATTAAAACACAAAAATTCTTGCTTTGTTTTATAGAGTAATAAATAAGTAAACAAATCAACGGTATGTTTTTAAATGCCAAAAGTAGGGGGTGCCTTTTTTGAAAAACAGCTTACCTATTCAGTAATAGTACTGTTCAAATCTTTAAATTCAAAGCAATAATGTCAGACGGTCGCAAAGAATATGTCGCTCATAGGGAGGAGATTCTCCTTTCAATTAATAAATTAGAGTTGACTCTACTTCAAGAAGGGATGAGTTACCTAGACATTATCACTATTTATCACAACACCAACGCCTTAGAATTTACTAACCACAAACCAACACCTCGATACCCTACTCATCAAAAAATGACTCTTTTAGAAAGTGCCCCGATATTACTCCAACTGAAATTAGAGAGGGAAAAGGAACAGCAATGCCTTGATAAAGCTACAACAGAAATCATTTTAGCTCGAGCAACAACAGAAACCGCCAAAAAAGGAATCAAATTAACTCCACTGGCATATGAAGAAATAGTCAAAGTACTTTCCCAGAGTAAAGAAGTTTTTCATTGGGTGAAAAAGAAAGCAAATTATGTGGTGCGTGTTGAAGAATATGAGTTCCTCAATTACTTCTGTGATAAAAATAACACGCCCTCACACTCCATCAAAAAGGTCCGTAAAATCGCACGCACGACTATGCGCACGTACTTCGACATTATCCGGTCTTCCGGGAAGAATTATTGGATTATAGGCGAGTCTCCCGCGAAGTATGGGAGTGTCAAGTATTGTAAAGCGACGCCAAAAATAGTTTAAAACTGTTGTAATTATTGATTTTTGCTTACACTGACTTCTCCGTCGCACTGTAAAGCTCTTTTTCAAACTTTTTTAAAAAATTTTTTAAAAAAGTTTTCCAAAGAGCTTCAAAAAAATCAACAAAGCCGATTGCACTAAATTTAAAATAGTAAAAAAGCTCAAGAGTCACTCGGTCATGAGTTTACGAGTCTTTTGAGAGTTTCACAACAATAGCAGTGATGTTATCTTGACTGTTTTTCTTGAATGCCAAATCTCGAATTGAATTTGCAGCTGTATCGACATTAACACTTTTATTAATGATATTCAAGATGTCCTCATTGTTCATCACATCAGTGACTCCATCCGATGTCATTACAACTTCGCAGATATCGTCCGTCTCAAACTCCTCAATGTCAGGAATGCAACTCAAATAAGGATGTAACGCTCGATCACCTATCGACCGTGACAACGCAACCACACCTTCGACTCTCCAGACTCCTCCTACCATATAACAATGTCCTCCATCCTTCTCGACTCTCTCTCGCTCTTCCTTTAAATCGGGGTGATGGTTCTTCGTAACTTTTTGTATCACACGTTGCGTCTTTTTCTCGTCTTTTTGCACATCTCCCGCCTCCTCTGTTTTCTCAATTTTCTTATTACGAATCAAAAACACGGGAGAGTCCCCAACGTGGGCAACATACAATTTGTTCTTCGAAATCGCCACAATCGACGCCGTTGACCCGCTCGCCGTCTTTTCAATGACTTGCGCGTGTAACGTCTCAAACGTCGAAATCAGTGCGTCGCGGACTTCTTTCTTCTTGTCCCGCAACGCCTTCTTCAGCACGACGCCCATCTCTTTCGACAACTCCAAAGCCGTTTCCGACCCATTGTGCCCATCAAACAGGCCGATGATTTCCATGAACGGGATGTTCGTTTCGTAGACCGCACACGTGTCCTCCATACTCGACTTCTTCCCAATGGTCTGTGCTATCCCAACTTCAACTTCGTTGAGTGGGACAATCGCCTCGTCGGGAACTATAGAGACGCCGATTTTCACTATGCCACTTTGCGTGATTTTACACGTCGAACTGCAGTCTGGAAGTTGAAGAGTAGAACCCACTGCTATACACTGATTGTCCGAATTAAAAACGGGCTGCTGGGCATGGTAGAAAGCTTCACGACGACCACGCGTGCGGGCATTCGGTAACGGAGATGATGTACTCGTGACTTCGACGGGTTGAGGGGATACCGGCGCATTGCCGCCCCGTCGCGAACGACCTTTTGTATTTGTCTGAATGTCTGGAGTGATGTCTGGGATCGGAGAACTGTCCTCTTTTTGCGTGGAACTTGTATTTGATGGAGAGCACTTGGAAGTGATGAGATCCTCCATTTCGCGCTTGAGTTTGGCGAGTTCCTTCGCCATCTCGGACGAAAGCGTTTCTTTGATTTCACTCTTTGCATTCTCAACAACAGTCTCTATATCATCACTCGAGTCCTCATCGTCGTCGTCTTTCGGACGCTCCGGCATTTTCTTCTCGCATATCTTGACATCCGACGACACACAGACGCTGCACGGTATTTCAATGTTCACCAACGCTCCAATCAACTCGTATGCCCGTACAAGACTTTGCGTGATATCACCGCCGTGTTCCGTTTTTACAAGTTCAAATTTCTTCGAGTCTCGTTCCAGTGGTATTTCCACAACACATGTGTCCCCCACAAAACTCAGAAGAATCTTCGAATACACACCAACCAACTCATTGAACTGAATACTTTCAAAATACACAACATATATCCCATCTTCATGTACTACTTTCAAACAAACATCCCCGTCACTATCACTTTTAATGATCACAACACACGTCCCTTCAACACCGTCTTTAGTTATCGGCGAGACTAGTTCAAGTCTCTTTGGAGTCAACGTCACCACGCGACACACTTTTTGCGACGTCGAAGACGTCGCGGAAAAGAATCGCGTCATAGCACTCTGAATACTTTCTAAGCCAGCTAACTCGTCGGACCCCTTCATGACGCTCTTTGTCTTCTCGACCTTTTCTTCGAGCGCGGTGACTCTCTTCCGCGTGGTTTCGTTGTCGCTCTTAATATCACTTTTGAGGGTTTCGAGGAGCTGTACAGTGTTCGTTGCGGTCATGACAGCAAATCGTTGTTCGAGCGATGTGATTCGTTCGTCGTAGACATTTGACTTCAACTCGGTGATCGACTTCTGGCGCAACATTTGTGGCTTTTTCACAACGGAGTCCAAGACGAGACCGCCATAGTCAAATTGGACTAAGAAGCCTCCAGCCACTTCGGACGCAAAAAGTATTCGCGTGAGGGAGTTAAGGCCATCCTTATGTGAGAACACTCGCATGACCGCGGTATAGCTTGTCGGGTCTTGTTGATCTTCCGGGAGGCTTTTGTCCTCCAAGTATGACACCAATTGAAGGGTATCCAACAGCGACCCTTCCTTTTTCGTCAACGAAAAGTTCACAAAGAGTGTTTTCTGTTTTCCTATGAACTGGGTGAACGTCTTCGTCGCGTTCGACTCTCCCATCGTTTGATTTCGAGTTCTTTCGAGTTCGGATCTTCAAGAGTTCAGAAAAGACGAAGATTAAGACTTTTTCTCTCGTATTTTTCGGGATTGTTTTCTTCTTGCTGGTTCTTTGAAATCCGTTCTTCAAAAGCTCAGAAAAACCAAAACCAAAATCACTCAAACAAAACCGGGACCAGATAGTGTACTTATATCTATAGTTTATAATATTATTCAGAAACTAAATTATTCTAATAGATGAACCATAAAGCTTACAAAAGTCTGTTGTTTGCTATGCATCAATTACTGGATTTATTATTATAGTACTCTTTTTAATACTATAAACTAGAGTATTGAAAAGTGTATAAGTTAAACGGAAAATACCTCTCAGTGAGAGGTCAATTAGCTAAGATATATTGTACAACACTAACAATGAAAAAACGACTTACGACCGAAAAAGTCTTTGTATTCCGTCGGTCTAACATAGTGTGCCGGGGCCACTTGAAACCCAAAGATTCGAGGCACATAATTAAACTCGTTTTTGGGGTGCTCGTCTATTTGCATGAGTAACAAATTCGCAAAGGTCGTCCCAAAATAAGCGCCGTCGAGTATATAGGAAGGAAACGCACGTGGTACGTTATACGTATCATTACAACATGGACAATAGAACTTCACTTTTGACTTCCCAAAGACGTCGAAGAGTCCAATAGGCAACAGAGGGTGTTCCTTGAGTGGTAAGAATACATTCTATTTATACTATAAATTATAGTTTGATAACTAATGTTTTACTATGATACCATTCACTTCTATATTATACTATTATATTCTATTAAATGAACTATACAAGACGGGTGACGAACAAACATTGCACTTGACACAGATACAAACCCCGAAATCGGTGTTTTGGTATTTTTGAATCATTTTATCAAGACCGGCCGGTGTCACTATGTACCGGGCATGGACAAGACCATATAACTTCTTTGTTTCCACTCCAATTTCGTTTTGGATTTCGAGCGGATAAATTGTTTGTTGAGGTATTTGTAAAATGGTGTTTAAACACTCGGAAAAGTAATTAACTGTGGTGCTCAGTCCATATAAATTAAAATCATCTTCAATGAACGATTTGTCAACTTCACACAAAAATTCGTTTTCGCTAAAAAGTAAAGATTGAAATTTAGAGGTAAAAAGGGTCCTAAAAAGAGGAAAAAAACGAACGGTAAAGCACAAAACGAATGAATCCATGTTGACTTTTTCTTCGTCTTTTTCATCAAAACTTGATTTTTTCAGATTGTCGTTCGGATTAATTTTTGCATTTCACAAAATCTTCAGTTCCATATTTCATTAGTTTACTTATTATAATTTATAGCAAAATAATCCACCCATTGAAAAAACACAATCTTGAAGATCGAGTGGGTGGAATGATTTGCTATAAAGATCTTTCAAGCAGAAAAAAAAAGAAAATGAGTTCGACCTTGAAAACCATTAGATGCTGGATGTGTTTAGGAACGTGTCATCCAAATCATTGCGGTTCTTAAGTAACACGTCCTATCATTCTCCAGTAGTTGTTAAAGGTGAGTTTATATATATTATAAATATATAACTATATATATTAATTATATAAACTATATAGTTAATATATAACTATATATATAGTATAATTATAGTTAATTAGTACCAATCAAAGCAATAACTTTCAGAAGAAACGTACCCCCTCTCTTCATCCGAAATCAAAAGACTCCAATCGGAGCGAATCATTCTCCTTAACTCAACTCACCAAAACCTTTTAACCTATTTTTCAATTGTTCATCAACAAACACCGAACACTTTCCAAATCACAACCCACTCCGAATTTATGGACTTGTACGATTTGTATACTTACGTGACAAGTCTCGCCACCGCCCCTCCACTTTCATTCGTCCGGTCGACGTTGACACAAATACTCTCCGGATTATCTTTCATTCGAAAACAAAACAATCACATTCACACGACGATGACCCCATACACAGTTTTGTTGTCAACAGACGACTCGATGCCACTCCCAAAAGTCAAGATAGCAAATTACATGCGAGAAGCCACTCACAATTTTTCAGTCGGGAAGTTGTGCTTTTTTGCGCCGGAAGTTCTTCAAGACGTTCGGCTTGGGAAAATACATCGACACGAGAAGGCGGACGTGTGGAGTCTTGGGATGATTTGTTACTTCATTGCAACAGGGGACCACCCGTTCAAGACAAATTCGCTTGAGAGAATAATTGCGCGGGAGCCGATCAACTTCACGAACATCACATTCAAAGACCTCCGAAGGATATTGAGGAAGATGTTATCGTATGATGAGAAAGAGCGAATTGGGTATAAGGAGTTGTTGCGCGACAACTTTGTGCGGGTTAGTGATGAGTTAGTTGGGAACATTCATACCGAGTTATATCCTGGGGAGTACGAGTCAGTCAAAGTGATTGGGAAAGGGATGTATGGGAAAGTGTATGAAGCGAAGAGGAAGGGGGAGGAGAGTGTAGCGATCAAAGAGATTCGGGCGAGCAACGAGAATCAAGTTTTACGGGAGTGTCGAATAATGAAGATGTGTCGTCATGAGAATTTAGTGAAGATCATCGATTATTTCAGTTTTCCGTATTCGATCTTTGGGGAAGAGGCGGGAGGAACGTTTCAATATATAGTGATGGAGAGATGTGAGTGCGACTTGATGACGTATTGCTTGTCGCATCAATTGAGTTATGCGATGGTGAAGGAGATCATTCGGCAACTCATTAATGGCCTCCACTACTTGTTGAGTGTTGAGAAAATATTCCACCGGGATTTGAAGTTAGAGAACTTCTTAATTAAAGAGGAGAAAGGGAAGTTTGTAGTAAAGATCTCGGATTATGGCTTTTCTAAGGTGTTACTTGACCAAAGTCTGTTTGAGAGTTATGTTGGGACGCCACAGTACATGGCGCCAGAAATTGCGTTTGTTGATTTCAGAGGGAATTACACGATAGCTTCTGATATGTATTCGTTGGGAGTTTGTCTGCACTTTTTGGCGTGTGGGAAAATGCCTGCGACGCAGAGCCAAGACTCGTTGTGGATTTGTATTGACTCGAATATCCGAAGTGATGGGAAATACTTGGAGGGTGTCAATCCTGAATTAGCGACGTTGATTCGAAAGATGTTGCAAATTGATGTGAAGAATCGAATCACGTGGACGGAACTGTTTCAAAACGATTATGTCAAACGGGTGTTGGGGTGTGTGTTTGAGGATCACTCGCAGAGTTTTGTGAAATCGCATCTTCCCGCGCCGATGTGTGTTGAAGGCGCGGAGAAGAAAAGTTTCCGATCACCACGAAAAGGAGGAATGAAAGAATTAACAATCGAAGAGGACGATTGCGACGACTTTGATTTGATTGTGCAATGTTTTAAAGCTGAGGACGAAATTATCGATGACGAGTGGATAGAAGCACTGAACTCGTGTAAAATGAGGAACGTAGTTGTTTGTTGTTCATCTTTATTGGTTGATTTGATGAGGAGGAGATAATAAATAAATTATTAATAAAATTATTAATAAAATTATTAATAATTAATCAAATAAATTAATAAATATTAATTTATTATTAATTAAATTAATAAATAAAGAATTAATAAATTAATTTATTAAATCATATTAAACACAAGATTCAAAACATCAAAATTAATGAAGTCTGTTTGGCATCGTTTTTGGAGTTTATGAGAGGAACAATCACAGAACCAATTGAGATGCCGGAAAGCATCCGATTCGAAAACTGTTTGGTCCCATTGAGACTCAAAAAAGAAATGGACTATGTCTCCACACACTTCAATATCTTTTTTGATTCTCTTTCCACCACTTACTACACCGAAACAAATAAATAATTTTTTTTACTATTTTTATAATTTCGCGAGTGGATGGGATACGACAAACGCTTGGAATTGTCACCAAAAAAAACATGTTTGTCAAAATTTGGTAATATTATAGTTTTATTTACTAAAAAGTATAATTTGGTGATTTGAGTCGAATTAATCTGGAACAGAAAAAGAAAGAATGTTGAAAGGTCAAAACTATAAGTTCAAAAGTAAAAAAAACGATAGATCCTTTAAATTTTATTTTTATGTAACAAAAATTACGGATAAAACAACGTATAAAAACGGGCGTTTTGATATACTTAAAAATACTTTTTTTACAGAAAATTATGAGTTATTTTTTTACGAATAAAAATAATGAACATATTTAAGCTGTTGTTTACCACCCAAAGAATTCGATTCGTTCCAAATAGTAAAATATATTAATCAATTCACCTATAAAATGATAAATTGATAATAACTTGCCAGAACGAGAGAACAATTAAAGATATAAAGAACACATCCCAAAATACATCATATAATAATAATATAACTAATAATAACCCGAACTATTGCAACAACTCATCCTAATATAAAGTGGAATAAATCAAGTAAAACCCCAAGATAACAGGCTGATTCCCCGAATCAAATCACAAATTGACTTAGAAAACAACTTGGAGCTTGTAAAAGGGTTTTCACTCAGCAAAGAACTGAAAAACGACAAATGACCGAAAAAACATTCCAAGTTTGTTATATTTCTGTAGTGACAAAAGTCTCACAACAAGGTCGTCGTGATTGGGGAAGGAAGTGTCGGGAAGTCCGCTATATGTCTTCTCTATGTTAAAGGAGAGTTCAATGTCGAGTATAATCCGACAATCGAAGACTCCTATGCGGCAGAAGTCGATGTCGAAGGGCAAAAGGTGAAAATGAGTCTAGTTTGTTTTTATAGTAAACAATACTATATATATAGTACCGTTTTCTATTAATTATAAATTATAACAAAATATATTATATATATAGTACTCTATTCTTTTAATTATTAACGGTAATAAATGATACTAATGGAATAGATAGATACGACTGGTCAAGAGGAATATAGTTTGTTTTAATTTCTACAATAGTAATAGACAGAGTAAATTACATTATGATGAAGATTAAGATTAGTAATTTTCTAAAGTATAAAATAGTAATAGATATAGTAAATCACTTGATACATACAATCACAAAATGAGAGGGATGTTGGAATAACAGAATTTATATGCAGTATCATTGAGGGAGCAATATTACTTGAAAGGAGACGCGTTTGTGTTGGTGTATTCAATCGACAATAAGAATTCATTCCACGCGTTGAAGAACCACCGTGACGGGATTCTGGGCTTTAGGACGGGGAAGAAGACACTGTTGGTGATGGCGGGTAACAAGTGCGACTTGGAAGAGCAGCGCCAGATCCCAACGGACGAAGCAAAAAAGCAAGCGGAGGAGTGGGGCAACATCCCCTTCTTCGAGACATCCGCGCAGAACAACATTAACATCAAAGAGCTCTTTGGGTGTGTTGCGAAGTTATTAATGGACGCCGCAAAAGAAGAGAATGCACACAAGCCAGCAGATCAAAAAGTCGAAGAAAAGAAGACTGAAGATCCCAAAGAAGTGACTCAGACAACCAGCGAAGCAAAGTCGGGGTGTTGTGTTCTTTTCTAAGATATTACTTGTGATGTTTCTTGTGATTAAATCAAGTTTTCTTTGCTTCTCTTACTCGTTACACTATGGTAGACAAATGCTTAATAAAAGCTATTATTTTATATAAAAATTATTATAACATGTATTGATTGAATGGTTCTTTTATCTTATCATCATTCTATTAATTAGTATAGAATTTTTTTAATCTCTTTACTAAAAAAACTAATAAAATAAAAAGTTTAATATTGTTTAAAAACATACAACTATCAAGTTTGCCATTTATTGGTTTTGGCAAATAGTTTTAATACTATTAATAATAGTAAATATAAATAACTCATATCAATAAAAAGATGGATATTTTTTAAACACAAACACGACACGTTGATGTTTTTATTATATAGTAATTTATAATTAATATTTACTACATTTTTATCACACTTATAACTAGAAATAGTAGTTGTTATTATTATTTTTTATAGTACTTAATTATTACACAAAAAAATAAAAACTATATTTCTAATTTACATTAAGTTCGATAAAAATTCAAATCACACAAACTTTTTGTATTATTTTTTTTTAAACTTAACTTGTTATTCAAAATGTCACTTTTTATTTATGAAGTCATTCTCAAAGGAGTGGCATTTACATCGCTGAGTGTTACAACACAAAACGAACTCCAATCTTTATCAAAAGAAGAATTAAAGCCAAGGTCTGTCATGGAAGTAATAGATAATATTGGCTATCCTGTTATGTGGATAAGAATTAGTCAACAAATAGATAACAGTTTTCTTTCTTCAGTTAATAATAAAGTTAGAAATGGATTGTTTGATTTGTTGGGGACTAGTTTAACTGTAAATCTAAATACAAAATTGAAGAAATTTGCCTTTTATACTCTCCGCGAAAAACAAATACAAATATACAAAGCAACGCACACCAGAACCAACGGTCCAAAACAATACTTTTCTTGTAAACATAAAGGTTGTTCGTCAGAAATTATATTTTATATTGCCAAAGATTCAAAAGTTAGTGGTATAATTTTTAATCCTTGGCATTTTAATCATGATGAATCAACAATTCTTAAAGGAGTACATAACACCATTTCTGATGAAACAAAATTGTTGTTAATTAAAGATGCCAATGATGGAATTTCAAGTTCGCTGTCAAGACTCAACAATAACATTGTAATAGATGCACAAAAGTTATATAAGATAAGATGTCAATCAAATCGATATAACAATAAGAAGCAAGCGGAAAATTTAAGAACTTATTTTGATTCACTAGAAGATTTCAATACCGTTATATTCACATATATAGAAGGTCGGTTTTTAAGTTGTTTTTGTCTGAGTTTGACTTCTATACAAGACTATGATGGAAGCTGTCTTGTGGTTGATGATACACACTGCACCAACAAATTTGGCAAACCGTTATTTGCGGTTGTTTTTAAAAATAACAACAAAACACAATTATTGTGTTTTGGGTTTTTATACGATTCAACGAAAAACTCTTTTGTGACCTTCCTCAATCAACTAAAAAGTGAATTGGATAGAAGGAAAAAGCATCCTATCGGCTTTTCGGGAGACAGATCAGAGGCACAAAGTTCGGCATTATTGGAGGTGTTTGGTACAGCTACAAAAATACGTCATTGTTATTTACATATTGGAAGGAATTTGGAAAAACATTTTAATAAAAAGGAAGAAATAATTGGTCTTTTTTATGATATGTTTCGGGAAAATTCAGACACTTTAAAAGCCGAAACATTGTTTGTGAACAAGTTACTCTTTTTGATGCAAACGTCTGAAATCCAAATATCATCTGATCAACAAGTAGATAACATGCCTACTCAAAAAGAATTTGCAGACTTTTTATCAGTGGTTTATCTGGCCGATAAATCTACTTAAGTCGAAGTCTAAAAGCCTTCAACCAAATATAGAATGTTGAAAACACTATTTGACATCAGAAATACTTTTCTGCCATCGCAAGTTGACCAAAGATTATATGCCACTTCAAATTTGGTTGAAGCGTTTTTTTTTCTCACGCAACTTTGTCCTTCCAACAAACAATTCCTTCGTTGAGTACCGCTGCCCAAGCTTTTGTTCTTTACACAAAACAATTGCATTGCAATGCAGAACCTTTCACAGAGAAAGAAATGCAAATACTCTCACTACTCATCCCTGATAATTTGTTAAAGACTCTGATACCTTATGCAATTAAGTCTCTCCTCAACAATTATAAAACTGTTACATGCATGGAAGACTGCACAATAGGAAATAGTAATAATTGTACTTGTAACTTATACACAAGTAGTGGGGTTCCTTGTCACCACATGTTGTATTATAGGTTTTTTAAAGAAGACAATTTTCAAGACAGTAGATGTCCGATTGGGTATTTCTTGGATATCAATTCAATCATATGTCCAATTGTAAAATGCCAGAATAACACTCCTGTCCTTTTAAAGGCAGATTTTAGAGCCAATTTATTTATAGAAAACACTACTGAACCAACTCATGAAGTTAGAATAATCACAGAAGAAAGAGAAATAACTAGAGGTGATATTAAAAAGAAATTGTGTAATGTTGCTAATCTATTAAGCCGAAGAACAATATTTCAAAATGCTGTGGAATTTTTACAGATTGTTGAGAATTGTAAAAGTGATGATACTCAATATAAAGATGGGGAAATAAAGGATCCAAAATATGTCAAATGCAAAGGAAAACCCAAAACTATAACATCCAAATTGGTTGATAAGTCCCTTCGGTTCAAACATTTCGATAAAGAAAAAAAACAAGAAGACCAGAAAAATAGTAAATAAATACTTTTTTATTTTTTGTTTATTCGAATAATTTTTTATCGAACTTAATGTAAATTAGAAATATAGTTTTTATTTTTTTGTGTAATAATTAAGTACTATAAAAAATAATAATAACAACTACTATTTCTAGTTATAAGTGTGATAAAAATGTAGTAAATATTAATTATAAATTACTATATAATAAAAACATCAACGTGTCGTGTTTGTGTTTAAAAAATATCCATCCAATAAAAATAATTTAAAAAAATTTAAATTATAAAAATATTAAAAAAGTAATTAATTAGTATAATTATTCATTAAATATTTTTTATAGTTAAATTTCTTTTTAACTCTAAATTTTACCATTACTTATTTTACTCCAAGACTTGTTGTTTAAGACTAAAAATTTGAGTTGAATTGGTCATAGTATATTTATATATTATTGTAATAGTATATTTATATTATTAAATAGTAGTGAACTAAATTGTCCCGCATGGCATGACGGATATATTATCTTCTATTTTTAACTAGTAAAATGATTTATAGTGTAACTACCAGTGAGGAACAAGACAAGTGATACTAACAAATAACATAACTCTCACGTCAAATTTTTGTTTCAAGCGCAACGCCATTTTCACTCTTAATTCTTTTTAGTAGCAGCAACCTTCTTAGCACCCTTAGCAATACCGGAGACGGCCTTAGCGATGTTCTTTTGTCTCTTCAAGATAGCGACTGCGTTGTTCTGTTGCATTCCCTTAGTGAGTTTAGCAGTCTCAAGCTTCTGTTTCTTCTCGAGAGGAATGACAGCGTTGGGGTCCATCACTCTCTTAGTGCACTCGACGGCCTTAACAGGGAGTCTGAAGACTCTGTTAGCGAGTTCCATGTACTTCTTGTGGTCCTTCTTGACGTTCTTCTTGAATTCCTTTTGAGCGGCGATCCAAGCCTTAGAGCAAGCCTTCAATTCTTTTCCCTTCTCAATAGTCTTGTTAGCCAAATATTCCTTCTTCAAGGTAATAACTTTAGCTTTGAGATCTCTCACCTTCTTGTTGTGGTCGTCAAGGAACTTCTTAATGGCTTCAGCCTTCTTCTTTCTGCTCTCCGCCTCTTTAATGTCCTTCTGTGCTCTCATCGCCTTTGCTGATTTGTGCATTGGTAAGACGGTGAGTCTGGCCATGTATGATTCAAGGCGAGATTTGTTTCTGTTGACAGACTCTTGGGACAGATTTCTTCGCTTTCTGTCAACGGCAATTCCAATGGTTGGCGCCAATCTCGCGTCGATGTGTGCGGCTCTCAATTCAGCAAGAGTAAATCCCTTCCCAAGTCTCAATTTGTAGTTATATTTCTGTCCCATGCAATGAACAGATGGGCGCAACATCTTAATTGGATTCGGGAAACTTTGTCTTGCCTTAGTCACTCGAACTTGATGGCGGCGAACAGCACGGAATGGTTGTTTGAACCAGGTATGGACTTTAGTCTCCCAATGTGCTTTTCTAAAGTGATTGTTCTGTAACGCCTGGTTGTGTCTCATTTGACATTGAAAGTTGGGTCGATTTTCTTTTTCTGCCCTAACCCAGTTTTTACTATATTTAATAGATTATTAATTAATAATTATAGCTTCTTTTTTGTTGTTCAGAAAATAATTTACTGAGTAATTTCTATAGTAAAAATTATAATGGTTTAATATATTATAATTATGGTAAATAAATGGAATTATTATTTATTAGTAATATAATAATTTATAATAGTTTAAAATAAATTATATTATATAAATTATTTTATTTTCTAATTCGTCGTAATAATTTTATTTATTACTAATAAATAAAATTAAGTTGTGATAATTAAAATTTAAGTTAGAAAAATAAGTATTTTATTATAATAAATTTAATAATAAAACAATTACTTTATAAAATAAAATTCATAAATTAAAATTCTTGTGATTAATGGCAACAAAATAATAGTAAAATATATTATAAAATAAACTATACCGAACAAAATTCATTCAAAATGATTTTAATTTAAAAATAAAACACATTTTAATGGTAAAATAAAAACAAATGTTTCAAGAAAATGTGACATATAGAAATAGAAGAAAGGAAGGTTATAAGTAAGTTTTACAGAACCGAAGTGATTTGAAATGATTGAATTACTTAGTTAAACAAGCAAAATACTACAAACATGTTGAAAGAGTATTATATAAAATTACATAAAATTGACAGGCGAACCCAACGACAAGCTGAGTGACTTAGTCGCTCTAACTTTTCGAACCTCATCGAAGACGACTTTACTTCTCATAGGAGTATAGCAACCCTCGCAGATGAAAGGGATTTGTTCATAAATACATTTGAACCCCCCATCAAGCAAATAGATTTCAGGGAAGCTCCACTCTTGTGATCCCGTCTCGACCATTCTGTTCCAGTCATATTCCCGGATCAAATTCGCGACTTTAGGACCACGTCTTTGTGAGAATTCGCAGTAAATGATTATCACGGATTTCTCCGAGTCATTTAAGGTTCGCATTGGGTTAAAGCGCTGAACAAGAGTGACCTCATTCCACACATTGATCGCGTCTTTTACGTGTCCCGCAGCAAATTCTGGGGGATACCTCGCGTCGATGTATTGAAGCTTAGTATTCCTCAATATGAGCTGGCTCAGATGTGTTGTTTTGATCAATGGGACTTTATTGATTTTAGGCACTCTGGGGAAGATTTGGTCGCACTTCTCAGCCAATTTTGGGTCGACTCCAAAGAGCTTTTGGTGTTCTCTTTTTGTCGAGTTCAGTGACAGTGGAGGTGTCTGTGAGCACATATAAGTTGCACTGGAGTACGCATAACTGTCAGTCGAGAGGGAAAGAGTAGGAGACTTGGGGACAACAGACACGTACTCCACTGGAGACTCTGTAGCCAATGAATACCTTGGGGAGACCAAGATGGAGTCTACCGAATTTTTCCTCTCACTTGATAGATTGAAAAGGGGCGATTGTGTTGAAGAAAAAGATTGGTGACCCACACTCTTATGTACTCGAGTTATCGGCCCACTACGTTGACTCATATGTGTTTCACTTTCAAGATGGAGAGCGTATTTCAGTCGTCTTTTTTATCAAGAAAATTCGATGCTCTTCGATAGTCTGTATAATTTAGAAATGGTAAATTTTTAAGTCAATTGCTTGGTTGTTCTCTTCTTAATTCATTTGGTTGCATTTACATGGAATTTTGGTGGGAAATTGAAGAAAAAAAGGAATAAGTAATTAGGTTTGGCAAAACATTCCACAATGTGGCATTCACTACATCGTCTTTGCTCAAATTAATTCAAGAGCAAAGTGGTTGGTCGAAAAGACTCAAAAAAGAGAAAAGTGTCTTGAGCATCTGACTTTAGCATTTAGTGGTGTTTTTTTGGGTGTTTTGAAAGTTGCCGCGTTTTCTAATTTGTGGTAACAACATTAACAATATTATAATTAAATATATTATATAATTATAGTTCTAACACTGACCATGAAAAAATACACGGATTTTGCTACGAATGAGACATGACTGGTATATGCGAATGTATGGTCACAAACACCATGTTTTGCAATTTTGAATGAACTTTCTTATAAGGACAATAACGGCCAAAATATTGGTAAAAGGGTGGGAAATTTAGGTAGTTGGAAAAACAAAGAAAAAAGAAAACAAGGATGGATCTTAGTGAATGTCGAAGTAAAAAAAATAAATTATTGGGAAAAATTCCCGACTTTTTGTGGCATGAAGTGCTGGGGTTTTCCGTGTTTTTGGTCATGAAAAGGTTTTTCTTACAGATAAGAATATAGAGGGAAACTTGTATATAACTTGTTTGAAATAAACGGGAAATATGTTTGAAAAGGGCTTCTTTCATTGGTTTGAAAATTTTTATTGGGCAAAACAGACTTGAAGAACAATAGCTCAGTATGTCTGATTTGAATACTTTAAAATATATAAAAATGCTTTGGTTGTCGCTTTGTGTTGTTTTTTTAGTCGGATCTAATAATTTCCATAGGACAAAACACATAGATATCCCGTTATATTGGTCTCTTTTTACTTGTTATTTGTATTTGTTTTGGATATACAAATAGATGCAAATATATTTGTGCCGCTTTATTTTTGCTAATTTTAGAGTTTTGTATTTTTTATGGCGAAATATTCGGCCTTTTAAAAGGAACAACAAGACTGCAAATTCGGGATTGTATTGAAATTTGATCTTTTGACTCAAACTTCCCGATTGCAGAGGACAATTATTGGCATTTGTTAAGGATAATTGGCTCTTTTGTAGTTAAATGGTCTGAACTTTTTATAGCTCATTTTTACTATACAGAAACTATAAATTACTGATTTTTAAACACGACTTAAAAACAATGAAGAAAACAAATGTCCATTACTTTGACCTGAAAAGCACTGTTATGTTATTTAAAACTGAATGTTTATATTTTAAAGAATAAAAAAGTGTAATTCAAGAATAAAACGACTAAAATATTACTGATAAAAATATTATATATCGTTTAAAGAACACTTACCAATAAACATTTTGATCGTTGCATTTTTGAGAAAACGACTTCATTATTTTCAAGAACAATCAATTCTTCAGAAACGAATTGATTGTCATTTTACTTGTTTTCCCATTGAATAGCTGACAATGAAAGGATCATAGCAAAGAAATATAACAAAACCGCCAATAATATAGTCATTGTTACAACTTTTTTTCACATTTTTATTCAATTGTTTGGATTAAAATAAACCATTTTTTTAATGTTGGTTACTAATTATACAAAAATCGCTTAGCAACAGTCTAAAAATAAAAGAAACAACATTATAAATAAGATTTACGTATTATCTAAAGAGTGTGTTTACTTATTTATTGGGAAAATGTGAGGATTAAATCGTTTAGTTAAGAATGGTAAAAAAATAAGAGTTATGCCACCAATAAATAAGATGTTCGATAACTTAATATGGCAGTATATTGGGATTTAATCAGTGAAATACAATACCAAACAAAAAAGTGTACGTTTATAATACTATTCTTTTAATGTAGATTTACAATGAAATAAATACAACATGTGATATATTTAATCGTAAATAATGATGATTGGATGTCGATTTAATGATTGAAATATAAAAACCTCTAATAAATTGATAGTTCTAAGTAATACTTTGCTCGATTTTCAATTAATAACATATATTAATAAAGATATTGTTATTGAAAATATCATAAGTTGATATTATATATTTGAACATAAAAACATGTTCATTAAAATAAAATATTAATCGACATTGGTACTTTATCATGATGATTAGAAAACATTTTTATTTATGTGCTTTTAATATTTTGTATTCAAACAACAATTAAATTGTTTACTTCATTGTCGAACATTATCTATCATTTATATCATAACAATTATAAATTGTTAAAACATGTAATTAGAATAAATAATATAAAAAGTATGATGTATATTTCAATATATATATATGGATAATATATCTTTATTCAATAATTCGTTTTAATTCAAAATAAAACCTGCGAATTACATTAAAAATTAGTATCATTAAAAAAATATACCTATTTGTTCTATATTTAGTTTGTTTAACTTTTTAAAAACATTATTTTTTTTATTTGATTATTATTGTAACTTACATTGAAAACCACCACCTCTTAAAATAGATTTATTTTTTCTATTTCGAATCATATTCAAATTAAAATTATAGTAAATAGGAAAATGGGAAGATATTAGGTCTGGTTCCCGAATTCAAAAAATGCCGAAAAATCACCTCGAGTTAGTGGAAACCAAGTGAGAAGGAGCATTGAAAAGAAGGCTCTGAAGACACACTCAAACGGTCTGTTTGTGCACCGTTTCACCCACTTTCCAAGTCCTCCCTTGGCGCGGATCCCCCCTGACCCCCCCGCAAGCGGGGGGACCACATCTGCGTCCACACAGTACGGACAGGGAAAGTGGGTGACATGGGGACGCACAAACAGTGGCTGAAAAGTGGACTTCCTTCAAAAAACACTCGCGGCAAATATTTTTTTTGGTAAAGTGGTGGTGGTCAATGTAGGTCCCATTATTATTTGTTTAAAAAATGAAAATTTAAGTGTAAATTTGTTATTAAATTATATTAAATTATTAACTATAATTAAAACTTAATAATAAAATTTCTTTATTAAAACTTTACAAAAAATGTAAAAACGTTTTTGCTTATTCATTTGAAAAGTTATTGATTTGATTTTTCGAGTGAATAATTCAATTATTTTTAATGGTATTTTTTTTTTTTTTCTAATATAATAAATATTATAATATGTTATTAGTAAAATATAATTATTCATATCATTTTTATTTTATTATTATTATAAATAACAAATTATATCAAAACAGAAATTTCCATTATTGTTGAATGGAAAAAAATCCACTCTAATCATCTTACATATTTTTATTATAATTAACTATAATTAAATAATATTTGGAAGTGTTTTATGATTATTTTTAATACCTACAACTAATAAATAATTATATTAAAAATAAACTAAATTAAAATTTTTATTCATTTTATTTCTTAACTTCACAATTAGAGTAAAAATTATTTCTTCAAAAGTTCGAGTTCGAAAAAAACATAAAAAACTATTTTTTATAATTTATGAAACCATTAAATATTAGTACATTTCAATCCTGTTGTGTATTCATTTTTTACACAGAAAACTTGATAATTCAATGATGGACATCCAATCAGTTCTTCTTGAATGTGCTGTCTGTCACGCGCCAATTGTTTTACACAAACAATTAATGTCCACTCTTCCACAGAGTCTCTTTACACTGACTCCCCCACCGCCTCCAAGTCGCAAACAAGCTGCTTCTTACACCTCTTCATTTCACGAGGCGTACTCTCCAGTGAAGCCTTTTAGTTCTCTTCAACCATCACCAAAGGAGTCTTCATTCAGAAACAATGAAGATGCCATTTTGAGTATAACAACGACCAAAAGGAAAGAAAAGAGTGTTCAAATGTACTCGAGAGACATATCTAAGTCAAAGGAATTTGTCGAATGGAAGGAGACGTGGAAGGAAGTTCTTCAACTCGACGTTCCGTTCTGTGTACCATGTTGGGAAGTGATGTGTAAATATACAAATGAACAGTTCTACACCCTCGGAGAAATTATCGTCACGGAGAAGATGTCCCTCGAAGAGATGCAGACAAAGAACTGCGTCGAGACGGAGATCCAAAAGGAGATCAAAGAAGTCGAATTGCTCGAAGCTGAACTGAAAGAGCAAATTAGGATTAACGAAGACCTGGCGTATACATCTTCTATAATAACCGCGTTGGTCGACAAGCTCGCGGAGAGTCGGGAACTCAATAATTTTCTGACCACTAAAATCGACTTGTCGTCGTCGAGAAGTCTTGAGAAAGTTATAACATATTATAATTATTCTAATAACGATAGTATAGTTTTAACCCGAATAAATAGCCAAAGTTTGTGGATTGATAACTTTCGAATTGAGTGGCTTGATAATTCGGTGTCAGTTGAGGGAATAGATGTTGTTGAGGCTTTCAAGAAAAAAGACGGGAATAGTCTTCAAATTGTTTTTGGGACCGTTATTGAGATGATCACAATTCTGTCCAAATATTCGGGAATTTTCCTTAAAAAGTGTTGTATAGATAATTATGGGTTTGGTGAAAAGAAAGTGAGTCATTTGGATTTTAATTCGGTTGGAAAATCTAAATTCAAAAACGCTCTCAAAATCATTTTGATGGCTTTCGGGGAAATTGTCGAGTTTTTGGTGGAAACTACAACGTTCGATATACCTTATGAAATAACGGAAAACGAATTTATACAGAGAATGTCATTTATCAATGTCTCAAATCTCACAAATTGGGGAATAGCACTGAAATATTTCTTCTTGGATATAGGATTTACCGCTAAACATTTACTCTCATAGTAAAGTCAGATATAAAAATGAGAACCTCTCGTTTCGTTCAAATCTATCTTGTATTCTTACTTTATAATTATTATTATTTAACTATATTTTTTAGTTTCGGTTGTTTTATTAATAAAATAACATTGGAATAAGCGTAAAAATAGGTATTATAATAATATCATTAAATACAAAAAGAGTTGTTTTTTTAAAATATTTCATCAGCGACATATTATTGTATATAGTTTATAGTAACTATTTGATAATCAAATACTATAGGTTCGAGTAATTATGAAAAGAACTGAGAATTTATTTCAGATTTAAACATGGTTAAAAAACAATTATAAATTAATAATAACAATATTAACAAAGAATAAGACAAAATAGCAAAACGCGAAAAAGAAAAAATCAATATAAAGAAAAAAAGAAAAAAACAAAAGAACTCGAAAAGAATTAAAAAATCATAATTTCTAGCAAAAAATGAAGGTGATGGTTGTATTGTTACTTGCTATATTCAGTTCTTACGCCTATGAAGTCGACGCAGCGGACGTTGAACTTTTTACTGTTTGTTTTTTGGGATTTTCAAGATCTATTTTTTGGAATGGCAAAACTCATCAGTCTCGAGATTGACAAAATGAGATTGAAAACGGAACAAATGATTATTTAAGAGCAGAATTTGAGGGTCAATTTTAAGTACACATTTAAAGTTAGTAGAGGAGGTGTTGGAAAAAAAATAACGAGTAGAGCGATGACGCAGAGGAGTTTGCGTTGAACGATGTTTCATATGAGAATGAGGAACATGAGGCTGAGGACATGAACGAATTTGACGACAACGAGGACGCGACTGACGATGATGATGACAACGAGGACGAAGAAGACGATGACTCGAAGTTCGACGAGTACGAACTTGGTGACGACGACGATGATTTGTATCTCGAAGACGACTTGGACGCCGAGATCGAAGAGGATATGGAAGCCCTCGAGGCCGAAGATTCTGAGTTTGACGAAGAAGACGATGATGAAGAGGAAGAGGATGACAACGAAACAAACGGCGAGGATGATTTGGAGTATCAACTCGGTGACGACTTCTTCTCATATTATGGAAATGCTTACTACACAGACCCATTCGTACAATTCTTTGACGGATTCTCAGGCAACTTCTATGGCCTCCCTTATGCACTTTAATCAAGCTAATTGTTATCCTTTTACTACGTATTAGTTGTTTTGTACTTTTTCAATGTTGTTGTTTGAACTTCTTTCTATTGGGTATTTTTTTCGAAGTTTTAAATGCTGTTTTTGTGTGTTAGTTATTTACAATTATTATTGCGACTTTCTTGTATTTCTATCGATTTTTTTAATTTTTTTAAATTTATTTATTAATAATAATAATTATTATTATTATTTATTATTTTCAATAATAATAGTATTATTATAATAAAAATTCTTCAATTATTTTAATAAGACTTATTAAAAATTTTTTAGGTTTTAATGTAAAGTTGCATTTTTTTTTCATAAAAAAATGAATTTTAATTTAATCTTTAATGAAAAGATTAAATTAAAATTATAAAATCAAAATAAAATAACAAAAGAAGTTGTAGTACTTCTATAAAAACATTTCAACAAGAACAGAATGTCAATCTTTATTTGTTCAGTGTTGATATGATTTCCTCCAACTCCCTTTTTATTTTGCTTCGTTTAAGTTGTCTGACCTTTTCCTCTTCTTTGTTAAGTTCGTCAACTAAAGCTTCTCGACATTTCATTCTTTCCAGTTCTTTTGGTGTGACGTATTCCATATTTGGCCTCCGTGGTTTTTTTTCACGTGCCGCATTTTCTTCTCTTCTTATCACATCATATTTCGACATACATTCACAATACCGTTTCATTGCTTCATATTCGTCTGGCTTACTCTCCATGTTCTATTTCTAGTTTTCTTATTAATAAATTATTACTTTTTTAAATTGGAAAGTATAGTAAAAGTATACTATTAGTATAATATTTATATTTTAAAAAGTAATAGTAATAGCATAGTAATATAATAATAATAATAATAATAATAGTATAAAAATGATATATTACTAATAAAAATATAGTAAAATTACTATAAAAAACGAATCAATCAATTTGTTCACATCGTGTTAAGTTTCAAATCGACGACGGTCAAGAGTTCCAGGTTTGTTGCAGTCGTGATTCTTAAAGTTTCTATTTTTTCCTGCGATCTTTTTGAGAGACTTTCAAGTATTTGAGTAATTTTCTGATCCTTTGAACCGACCAAATAGGAGTAGTGGACTTTGCACAAGAAACTAGCGATATTGACACAAGTTAAAACTCTCTTGTTTTCAGCCAACCAGGTGTTAACCCATCCGAGTAATAGAACTGCATGGGAAGTTGGTAACATTAAAAGGATTTGATGCAAGTTAGCTGCTTGAATTTTCATGACGAGATTCATTAAGTAATCATTAGGGTTAGTCCCCATCAAAGCTATTGAAGGCTCTGGTTTGACTGGTGGCTCACCTTCTTTCGTTACTTCCCATTTCTTATATTCTTCGGTATACCCTTCAATATTATTCATTTCTTGTGTCACTGTATCTATCACACTCATTAAATCCTCCGCACTTCGTATCATCTCCACCGTCTTTTTCGTCGCGTCTGTCGTCTCCAACCGCTCTGGTGCATTTCTATCGACGAAGTCGATCTCTTTCAATTCCTCTTCATCAAAACGAGTCGTTAACAACTTGCGCTCCTCTTCTTCGACAAAGACTTGTTCCTTTCCTCGCATCCATACAATAAACGAATGATCCAATGACGTCGTCACTACATAATCACCATATTTACTACATACAATATCCATGATACCCCCTTCATGGGTATCATACGTCTTAATGAGAATCATCTTATCTGCATCAAAGTAACGCATCTTCTTATCGCGAGACACACTCATGAAGTAATGAGTGCGTGGGATACATACAACTCCAGTCACAATATCATCATGAACTTTCATAGTCCGTTTACACTCCCCAAATTGAAGTCCCCAAATTTTAACCGTTTTATCAGCAGATCCAGTAATCACAAGTTCATCATCATCGCTTATAGAAATGCTCGTCACTGGCAAATTGTGTCCATACAAACTTAAATAAAATTGCATCTCTGGAAGTTTGTAAACCTTCACGTTGTTATCATTAGTACCAACTATTAACACTTTCTTCGACAATTCTAAAGAAATGACCGAGTCATCCATATCATATTCATTCTTTAATGTAATTTCGACACACTTCCCACCATCCTCGTCAGTAGATACATTTAACTCCCATACTCGAACTTTCTTATCTTTCCCCGCTGTCACAATTCCAAGAAAGTCATTCACCTTCCACATCTTCAAAGCAGTCACTTCCGAGTCATGTCCTTTAATACTTCCTATTACTACAGCAGCAGAGGTGTCCACTATCTCAATAGACCCCCCAAGTGTTCCAATAGCTACAAAACGCCCCCCAGGTAAGAACGTCGCTACATTCGCTCGTCCACATCTCACAGAAGAACAACTCTTCCCATTGATCGTCCATATCTCACAATTGCCATCTCCTATGGAGGCTATGGTGACATCATCATCGGAGACTAAAACTATTTTACTATCCGGACGCTTGTGCTCTTGAATCAATTCGGGCTCAAATTTCTTGTATTGATACTCAAGGTACCCATTCACATCCCCAACTATTACTTTGGCCTCTGCATTTCCTTTGTGAGTGAAGACCGAAAGCGACTTGATGGTTTCATTCACTTTCATCCCATGGCGGACAACTAAATAATCACTTAAGACAAACTCATTGTTCTCGACTCTTTTACGGCGCTTTTTGGACTTCTTCCGGTCTTCCGTTGTAATGATCTCCCCTACTACTAATGTCCCCCCATACACAGAAAGGCCACAGAAAGTCTTGTGGACTTGAATGGATGTGACATACCCCGTCACATTCAAATTGCCTTCCCCAAGAAGAGTTAACACTTCTTCACTCCCTTCTTCCAGTTTTAAAACCCTAATTTTCCCATCTAAACTCCCCGTCATCAAAATTCCAGGTTCAATTTCTTTGAGACTTTTTATCGCACTTTGATGACCAACTAGGGTTTGTTTGCATTGCTGGACTTCTAAGTCCCATACCTTCACTAAACCATCATCTCCAGCAGTTATAACAATATCATCGTAGACTACAGCAGCACGAATTACGTTTAAATGCCCACGAAGACGACAGATACCTTCTTCTTTAATCACATCCCAAACTACTATTTCGGGCTCTAACCCTATAGAGACTAATATGGTCCCTTTTGGACTGAATTCTAAAATCTGAACCGGTGTACGGTGCCCACTCAATGTCACTAACAACTCACTGTCTTCAATCGAAAACAAAAAGATCTTCCCTTTGACACTCCCAACTGCAATGTTGTGGCGGTCGGAATCAACCGAGACGACGGATACCTCTTCATCACATTGAAAACTCTTCTCTACTCGATTTGTTCGTGTGTTGACTAAGTCCACTCGATTGTTCCGCACTAGAAGTATTTGGTTCAAGTCAAAATACACAACGTTCGCCGTCGAGATCGATCCGCTTCGAGACTCGACCTTGTAGTCCAAATATGTCTTCACCATCCTCTTTCTTTTCAGTTCAAAACAGCCGTTTTCTTCATAGAAATTTGGTTTTATAATTCACAAGAAGACGAAAAAAGTCTTTTTTTAATACAATTTTGGGGGCATTTTCGTAACCCTATGACCAGCCTTTTCTAGTTTATTTTATACTATATTATACTATTAAAATACTATCAAACAGATGCGAAGAAAATGCATTCAAATTCAAACATGAAGGACTACTGTTGTGCTGTCTCAGTCTCTGTCCACGTCTTTCTCAACTCAGTGAGTGACATGGGCAACGTCTCTTCTCTGATTTTAGTCGGCTCATCTACTTGTGAGTCAAAGTAAATTATAATAGTTTTCATATAATTCTATTTACTATACAATTGAACTATACAGAACAAACATTTTGAAGGGACTTCTGTTGCTATAGAAGACACTAAAGTCCCCCGTTTTTTAGTGTTTTTATGTTCTGTTGCTGAGGAACTACTTGCAAACAGTCTTTTTCGTTTCATTGGAGTACTTCCACCGATGTTTTTACCTCTTTTTGATAGCACGGATTTGCCCCTTCCATTCACTGAGTTCACAAGACTCGTCACATTCAATTTGTCATCGTCTTGTAAGTCGAAGTGGCCTTGAAATGTGTAATAAATGAAATCGGTGATGAAGTTATTGAGTGCCATAGTAATGCATTGTGTTGTTACTCTAAAGGCATTAACTAGAGTTGGGCGATACACTTCTTTTAATTTAGAAGACGTGTACGTCCTCACCTGTATTCCATTTCTCTTAATGATCATTCCCGCCCCCAAATTCCCTTTCGAGTAATTTGGCGCAGAGAACAGAGTAAATACCAGTGGGGTTCCTACTTGTTCTTCCCCAAAGAAGTGCATTTGAATACCTTTTTCTGTATATTGATGTCCTCTTATAACACTTGTTATCTTATTATTTAACTGAAATGAAGTGACTGCTTTATGTCCATACATATAAGAACAATTCCTTACAATGTTCTCTACATAAGTTATCTCTTCCCAGTGTTCAACCATCTCGGGATGCATCTCAAAGTATTCCACTGAGACCGGATCACTCCACAACAAATCACAGAAAAGTCCTTCTTTTGGGGGTTCTTTGAATCGATTGATTCGACTGATCTCCTCAACTCGGGTCATACTCTTCGATAGCCCCCCATGACTCAGAAAAAAATCCCCATACGTGGACGAGACTATGACTGCCAATGGCAACGCATCAAACACTGTCATTATTTCGTTATAAATCTCATTATTGTACTTCCAAATACACTCGTTATGAAACCCCCATTTCACTGTCATTTTACGCGTCTCGTGGTTCCCTCGTAACATCAAAACTTCTGTTGGCGAGTTATACTTCATACTCATTAACATGAAGAGGAGCTCACACGAGTAAATCCCTCGATCGACATAATCCCCAAGAAAAATGGTCTTATGTGGCGTTCTATTCCACTCACTGTATGTTAAATGCTGTTAAATTCTTAACAATTTGTAGCTTCTAAAGTGGCTCGAAAACATGGAAAATGGAAGACACCCAATATCAGAGAGACTTTGTAAAGTTCTATTAAATAACACCAACATCACTGATTTCGGCTCTGATAAAAAATGGTCGAAACTATATTGATATTAGATTGAATCTATTATTGATACTAATTATTATAGAGATAATAAATACTATAAAAGTAGTAAAAGGCACAAACAAACAAATCTTCAATTTCCGTGAGGAAGTCAAAAAATTGACCATGAAAATCTCCAAAGATAAGAACGTCACCATTCACAGAAATAAGATTCGGTTCGTTTTGTAAGAGTTGTCTGACTCGTTGAATAAGGGTTACTGCAGATTGAATTGATAGAACGCCACCATTCATGAAATGATTCCGAATAGATATAATGTCATATTTGCCATCAACAAGAGCCAAATCCATGCTTGGCTTTGTGAGCGACATGAATTTTTTTTGAATTTTTAAAGTTTTTCGAGTTTTAGTTATTTTCTATGTTTTATAAAATTGATATCATTTTAATGAATTTCAATATTCATTGAAACACGCCTGGTATTGAATATCAGACGTGTTTGATATAAAATAAAATTCGTTTCTAAATAAACAGATTTATTCAAAAAGGTATTAAATAAAATCAATCAGAAATTCACTGGTGCATTTTTCTTCCCAAACCTCTTCTTGGCAAGGTTTGGATTCTTTCTCCCATTCTCAATGATAACCCTCTTTTCGGCGGTTACCGACGCGGAAAACCCGTCTTCAGTCCACCCACTTGTCTTTTTGACACCTCTTTTTGTTTCTTGAAGCCTCTTGTTGTAAACGTCTTCAGTGAGAATAATTTTCTTGCTAGTTTTATCTGTTTTATTTCTTTTGGGAGTCAGCTTTTTGATTTGGTAGACCCTTCCCCTTTGGCAAAGTGTTTTATTAACATTAAAATTCTCCTTTATCTTACCATCAGAAAGGACATAGTATGAAATTCTTCTCAGGTCGTGGTACCCACACTTCGGGCAGAACTTTTTGCTCAAGTCAAAAATCTCTTCATGACATATCAAACACTTTAACATCCAGTTCATGATTTTCGTGATAACCTTTCCTTCAACCCCCATCACATGAATGCCCATTTGCATCAAGACGTTTTCCATTGTGTAATCGGCAGTCATGCATACAACCTTATAAGCTTCCGCGTTTTCATCATCGAAAAAGACGCTTTTGTCTAATTGTTTATAGTTTTGTGGGGTGATCCATTCAGTGAATTGCTTGTTGATTGGTTTCTTCTTTGGTTTATCTTTTTTACGCTTGACACTAATAAATCCGTCGTCGTCCACAATAAGTTCACCCTCCCTCTTTTTCGGGGCTGGAAGTGTTTCTATTTTGAAGTCCAAATCCTTCTCCTCAAATCGGATATGGGAACCTTTGCTTGGTTCTTGTGAAACCACCGTTTTTTTCTCGCTTTTTTCTTCCTTTATCTGTTCGATCTTTCCGTCTTCGCGATCTTTCTTCTCACTTTCGCAGTCTCCTTCCGCCACTTCTTTCGTTTTCTCACTTTGATCTAACAAATCCTCTCCATCTGAAAAATCATCCTCTTCTTCTTCATCCTTGTCGCTATCTTTGTATAAATACTCCTCTTCGAGTTCGCCCAAATCTTCTTCATCTTCTTCGTTACAATCATCCAATTCTTCAAACGCTAGTCTTTCATAGTCTTTATCTGTCATTTTTCGTTTTGCGCTTCTTTTAATTTTTCCGATTTTTGCGAGATTTTCTTCTTCTTTTTCGGTTTTCTCGTTTTGCGGATTTTCGATTTTTTCGTCTTCCAAATTGTGCGAATTTATTTCTTCTTGATTTTCGTTTTCTTCGATTTTTGTTTTTTTGTTTTTCTTCTCGTCGAAGAGCATGAGTTTTTCACGAGGTTTTTCATTTTCGGGGTCATAGTCGAAGGTGGTCACAATTTTTGGTCTTTCGCTTCGTTTAGTTTTTTCGCCCAATTTTGGGAATCTTGCGTCTTTTTCTGCGGTGTCTTCAACAGGAGCCGGTCCATAAGTTATAGTGACTGGTTTTTCTTTCACTTGAACAATCTCAACTTCTTGAGTTTCTTCGGCTTTTTTCTGCTGTTCAGCTTCACTTAAAACTTTTCGTGGATCCGATGGGGTTTTGGGTAATTCGATTTCTGGCATTTGTTCACGCATGTATTTCACTGCTAATGCTATGACGGACATGTCTTGTGTGGATAATCGGGAAAAGTCCCCAGATTTCTTTGAAAACTCAACAGTGTACTCAATATCTTCTTTGGAGGGAGTGTCTAACTCTAAATCAAAAGGTAGGGTTTCAATACGATGACGAGAAACAGTATCTCTAACTTCTTTTATTACACTTTCAGTCGTGACTATGTGCTTTGCTTTTTTAAAGAGTTGTGAGGCTTGGTTACGTAGAAGGACGTTTGTATCTATAATCAAATAATCGTGGAGAATCGGCTCCATAAGCTTTGTTTGTTTTGTTTTCGAATTTTAGGGTTTATAATTTTATGAACCAAATTTTTAATTTATTTTGAAGTCGAATTATTAACTTTATTTAATAAAATAAAATAAATTATTTATAGTGTTGTATTGGATTTTTATTAATTATTTTATGACAATTATATAATACCATCAGTTGTATAGCATTGTTCTAATACAAAATTAAACTAATATTTTTTAGTTAATTTTAAGTAAAAAATAGTTAAGTTTTTTATATGGTTGTCATAACCATCATATCGTGACGGTCATAACAAAAAAAAGTTATGAGTTATCACAATACAGTAAAAAAAATATGGGGATGCTCGAAAAAGGAGGATCCTCGTAACTATTGGTTAATTTCAATTGAAAAATAATAAAATTATTATTAATTTTAATATAAATTATTAATCAAAAAAATAATAAAATGAAAAAACCGAATAAATTTATATTAATTAATTATTATTAATAATATTAAATTAATTAATATTAAGATGAGCATCCCCCTTTTTCTGTTAACTGTAATATAACTTTTAATTTATAAAAAAACCATTTATATTTTTTATACAAAAAAAAGTATTCCAATATAAATATTTTTATTTAATCAAATTAATAGTAAATTTATAATTAAATTTTTTCATATAATAATTAAAAAGTGGTTCGTTTTTAAATACTACAATTATTCCCACAAATTTATTCATTTAAAATTATGTGTTTGCTATTTTTTTAAAATGGTATAACATATTTTATAATAATAATAACTAAAACCATATAAATTAGTTTAAAAGTTTGAAAAACATTAAAAATGAATTTTGAAATATCATAACAAAACCAAAAATAACAAAATAATATGGTTCTATTATCTTCCCTTTTATTTCGGGAAAGTTCTGTAATATTCCATCAGTAAGTAAATTAGAATTTGATTGGATATTTCAGAATTTTGTATGATAAGAAGACAATAGAACTGCAGAAAAATACTGGAAATTTCATTTAAAGAGATTCCCGAATAATTAGAACAAAAAAACATTACATAACCCCCTTTTCATTTTTTATTTTTTCGAACCCCAATAATTCTAGTTTTTTTTATTATTTATATATGATATTCAAACCATATTGATTTTTTTTCATATTTATGAAAAACTAAAGATTGAAGAAAAAAAACATTTTCCAATTTTTTCATTTAAAAATTAACTTACTTTAATCGTTAATTAACACGAAGTATTATTCAGAAAAAAAACTAACTTTTGTTTTCCAAATTTACTGAAATAATCCCGCACGTCAATCCAATCACAATTAAGAACCATTGTGGAATAAAAAAAGAACTTTGAACTGTATAAATCATCTCAAACCTAATGTCAAAGATTCTTCTTGAGCGCCAAACATGTGTCTTAACGGAACGAGTTGGTACCACAGAGGTATATGTAGTAGTTAAACAAACCAATTTTCTCTTATGTTTAACGTCAACGGATCCCATTGAAAATGCTGACGTGTCCTGTGATTTATTATATGACATGCCTGATTTAAAAGCTGTTCCCTATGTAGCTCAGAAGCCGATCACATTTCGATCTCAACAAGTCTCACCTGAAGCCATCAATGTAGAATGTAAATTGAATGTCTTATCTTCTCAACATGAAGATATGCTCTTTAGAATTCGCGTAGTTGTTTCCGATAAAGGGAAACCTGTCGGCGAAGTGATTTCAAATCCGATCCGCTCGACTTCCAAAATTGATACCAATAAAAAGACTCGGCAGTTCTCAAAGTACAACGGACAACTCACGACAGTCCAGGCAATGACCACGCCGGCTCAGTTGAAGAAACCAAAGAAGAATGACATCTTAGCTCCCGCCGTTACTCAACGAAGAGTCTTTGAATTGGCTTTACTGTCTTCTAACACTATTTTACTCGAAAGACTTCGACAAGCTAATCGAAGAGAAGAACAAAAAGTGACGACAGTCGACGCTGGAGTTCAACAAGTCTGCGAAAAGATGGCTTCTATGGAATACACTCAACTCCAAATGAACTTGATGAACACTTTGGGTGGGTTGGACCAAGAACAAAGTAACGCTCTCTTCGAAATTTGCTCAGTTATTCAATCAATGTATCCTCAACAATACACTTTCCAACCCGTCGTGGAACAAAAGTTCACGCCTTTCGGTGAGTTCAATGGAAACTACTCAGGTCAACCTAACGTATTCGGCGGATTCTAATTGTTTTGTTATTACTTGTCTGTATGTCTGTTTTACTCGATTGAGGGGTGATTTAACACTTTAAATAACATTGAACAAAATTCAAATGGTCTAAAAATCGGGAAATTTCGAGTTTATTAAATAAATTTCCGTTTTTTTAGAGTTTATTTTATGTGCATAAACAATACACAAGCCAAAAAAGGAAAATCATCAAAATTTTGATAAATATCCCTGTAAAAACAGGTCAAAACAAAAATAAGGGCGTTATTTTAAGTGTTAATATAGTTTTATTATAGTTTTATTATAGTTTTATTATAGTTTTATTATAGTTTTATTATAATATTATTATGTTTTTATTATATATTTATTATATATTTATTATATATTTATTATATATTTATTTTATAAATTTAAATGTAAATTGACTTCTATATTATAGTTAAAATTTAATAAAACAAACTATTATTTTTTTATTTACTATTTATTATTTATCATCATATCTAAATATATATATAGTTTTTAATAGCGGAAATAAACAATAAAATGATTTATTTAATATACTATATAAACTATTAAATATACAATTCAATTTCCGATAAATTAGGTTTGCTTAATATTAATTAAAAAACGAAATTTTATGAATTTTTTTTCATTGACTCTAATTATTAGTTTTAAAAATACAACAGAAAATTTTCGTGTTATAAAAATGAACTGAAAAATATAATGATCAAGATACATTGTTTTTAATCATTTTACTTTATAATATTTTTATTATTTAACTATTTTAAATAATATTTTTATTATAAAAATATTATTAACACTGTCATTTAAATGTAAAAATATGAAACAAAAAAATAATAAAGAAAAAATAAGAACATTAACATAATTTCAATCGAATAAAAAAATAAATAATAAAACAACTAGAAATCATAATGCTTCAATTTCAAAGAAAACATAAGAACAAAACAATATGGTAAAAAAAAGTTATAAACAATTCCCGAAATGGCAACATGAGAAAATGATATACACGTCATTATTATTAATCACATACAATCACAATACATATAAACAAAAGTTTATGTAAAAATACTTTAACAAAATGTTATCCAAAACGATACAACCAAAATGTGTTTTTCAAGTCAAAACACTTTGTTTTTTGACCTGAGAAAAAACCAAGAAAGGATATCATTCCAATAGAACTCTAAATAGTAGATGAGTAAAACAGCTCCATCGTTGACAAATGTTTCGCTCGTTAAAAAGGTTTATTTGAATACTTTCATCTCATTCTTCTGACATTTAGAACATCAAAGCAGTCAAGAACATCCCAAAGGAATTTACCTCAAACGCTGGAAAGATTTTAAGTCTTGATATTAGTTCAAACGAAATGGTTTGTATAACATTTGTAATTCCAAAAAAACATTTTAATATCAATTTTACAATTATGTACTGAAAAAACATTTTAATAACAAAAAGGTCTTTAAAAAAGATTTTAAGACGTTTTCCTCATTAACTCAACTCAACGTTTCGTCAAACAATTTAACGGAAGTTCCACCAATTTTAGTTGAGATTCAAAGTCTCAAATCTCTCATTTTTGCAAATAACAAAATTCTTGTCATTCCCGAATTTTTAACTCGATTGTCTAACATTGAAGAACTAGACTTTACTAATAACAAATTGAATGAAGTTCCCCTCTACATCGATTCCTTTCATAAATTGCGAACATTAAATGTCTCATATAATACTATTGATAGATTACCAAAGGCTTTAGTTAACATTACAACATTAAAAAACGTTTGTTCTCGTCCCTCCACCCAATATACTATTTCTTATAATTATTTTATTAGTAATGTCTAGTTCAACATCTCCGGCAATTTATTCGACGCATTCCCGACACCCATCCAACAGATGTTCACATTGTCTTCACTCTGTTTTGTCGACAACAACATCGTGGAGTTCCCAGAAGTCATAACGGGCCTTACCAATCTCGAGGACATTAATTTCAGAAATGGCCGTATAACTCACTTTGTCCCCAATGTCTTAGAAAAGATGACGAAACTGACTTCCCTCAATTTAAAGGCAAATTCCCTCACAATGGCTCCCCAAGTCTCTCCCCTCACCAATTTGAAACAATTGTTTATAACGGACGTTTTTGTGACGGAGCATTTTGAGTTTCCGAAACTGGACAAGGCGACACTCCTTGAAACGATTTGCATAGAAAACACCAATTTTAAGAAGTTTCCGTCCCTTCTGAATTTGACGAAATTGACATATGTGAAGGTTGAGAGGAATGCGTTTGAAGAGATCTTGGAAGTCCCCCGGCGGTGTCAGTTGTTGTGTAAAAAGAACAAAATCAGTACAGTGACGGTGCAAAAGAAAGTAGAGATTCCATCAATGGATTTGTCGTACAACTTATTAATTAAAAGTCCGGACTTGAGTCCCGCGGAGTCGATTCTTTCATTGGACATGTCATATAACACACTCAATTGTGTCGAGAAGTCCACCTTCCACAAAGGATTGAAGGAAATTCGACTGAGTGGAAATCCTTTGATGCAATTGCCTGTTGACATTGGGTTGAGTACTAACTTGTCAGCAGTGTATATAGCAGACTGCCAACTCTTTGAGATCTCCCAAAGTGTTGCACACAGTATGTGTAATATCCAAGTCTTGGACATCTCGTGTAATAGATTCATCTCATACGAGAATTTCCAGAACTTCTTGAAACTGGAGGAGTTAATCGCCTCGTCAAACAACATCGAGCAATTCCCCCCGCAGTTCTTGGAATTGACGAAATTGAAAAAGCTAGTGATCAATAATAACAAGATCAAAGTCATTCCCGAGAGTCTCAAGAACTTCAAAAATCTTATTGGTGTCGACTTCTCGATGAATCAACTCCAAACCATCACAGTCTTGGAAACAATTGGGACATTAAATGATATCGACGTCTCTTATAACTTCATTACTAAAGCCCCAAATTATGAGACCTGGACACAATTGAGACACTTCGACATGACTGGAAACCCTTTGATGGACGCGACACCGTTAAGTCTTGTTTCAAAGAAAATCGCTTTTCTCTCCGCCACGCTAATCGTCCAGAGGAACTTCTTTGGTGACTTTGAATTGTCCGAGCAAATCGAAGACAAAAGTCTGAAGAAGTTACCGGAGATCGTCAGCCAGTCGACGGAAATTAAGAGCAAAAAGTACACCAAGCCGCCGAAATACACAAAAGACGACTTTAGGTTCAATTTAGAGGCGCATTCGGAGGTCGGCATTTCAAAGAGTCAAACTGAAAGTGTTTCTGTTGCTTCCACATATGTTCGGAATGTCATTGGAGATGGTGTTTTAGTAGCTTTGTTTGATGGGATACGTGGTGGGAACACGGCCAAATTTTGTTCTGCGCATTTTGTCGAGTTCTTCTTAGCGAAGATCCAAGAGGGCAAAATAGATGAAGGCTGGGTGAAGAGTTCAATTGGACTCACTTTCGAGAAACTCAACGAGAAGGTTAAAAATGTTGAGAAGACTGATGGAGCATCTGTTGGAGTGATGATGTGGCATAAAGGGAAGTTGCATGTTGCGAATGTTGGGGACACTCGGTGTCTTGTTATCCGTGAGAGCGACTGTTTACAATTAACAACGGAGAATTTGTGTACGGAGAAGACTGAGAAACAGAGAATTAAGAATGAAGGGGGGGTCGTCGATGAGTTCGGGAAGATCAATGGGATCATCGGAGTGACTAAATGTATTGGTAACTTCGATATGGCAAATTTCGTGAAGTGTACCCCAGACATTACCTCTTATGACGTCACTAAGAACGACTTGTTTTCTATTGGAATCAATCGAAATATTTGGGATGTCCTTTCTAATGACTTTATTGCACAAGTCGCACGAAACTTTAGAAACTTGCAACCTCCCGCAATAGCAAGTTTAATAAAAGATGAAGCAAGGCAAAGAGGTGCAACGGGAAATTTAGTCGTCTCGGTCTTGTGCTTAGAGTACTTTTATGAAAAGAATAATGAGCAGTAAGTAATCAGTAATTAGTCATTATTAATAATTTTATAATTAATAATTAATAATTAATTCTATTTTATTAATTATAATTAATAATAATAATAATTTAATAATTACTTTTATTTATTCTATAAAAAAGTTGTCAGAGTTACAAGTAACTTACAACTTCTGATTGAAAGAAATTTAAAGAAACTTAATGAATAAAATTATAGTAAGTAAATTATAATTAAATAGTTAAGAGTTTGAGGAATTCCTTGAACTACAAATTCATGGAATTCTTCTGCTCGTTAAAGCGCTCCACCATAAAGCCCATATTCTCTTTGAACACTTCGTCACTTTTAGCGATGAAGTACTCGTCGACAACGACTTGGAGACTTGGACTTTTAACATCGACGTATCCGATTTGTAATATCGACGTGAAATTACTGAAAGGAAACACTGAGACATGGTCGAGTGCGGGGAAGGATATCTCTCGAATAACACTGCCACTCCCTCCACTCATGACTAAAATACTTTCCAAGCAATTTTGTAATACAAATTCGCCACACTCGCACCACTTGTTCTTCTTGTGTTCGACTTTTTTTGCTTCAATTTTCAGCGACTGATTGTTTAACATCGACCGATAGAAGCAAGACGCGTACAAATTGGCGATAAAGCTCCTCTTGTCTTTTGCGCTCTTAAAGAAGAGTCTCTGTGCCATTCTCCGGTCATTCACAAGTTCGATGACGTCCTTCTTGTCATACACAAAGAACTTAGTGATCTGTTTGATGTCCTGCAAGTACTTAATTTTCTTCCCCAAAAGAATGACGTCATTCAATGTCATCCGAAGCTCAAACTCCTTTGTCTTCCCTTTAACAGTAATTTCCACCACTATCGATTGCTTCACAAAGTTCTTGGAGTCCTCTGGTATTAACGTGTTCTCCTCTTTAAAGCGGTTCTCAAGTTCAAAGAACTCTGAAACCACTTCAAAAGTGTTCTTCCCAAATACCCTCAGAATTAAACTCTCAACTACTTTTGCACAGTGCAAGACTATCACTTTGTACTTCCCAGAACCTATTTCAGTTAACATCGTGTGCATTGTCTTTAAGACGCCCGTAAAGAGTTGCTCGTTCTCAATTTGCTGGAAGCTGAACCAGCTGCAATCGATGATAAAAGTAAACGCACTTAAGGAGCTGAGGACTTTCTTAACTACCGTCCCCCATGCTTCGACAACGCCTTTCAGTTTTAACATGTCGACCAGGCGTTTCACTACTAGATAGACGATAACACTCCCATCCGGAGCGTTTCCTCCCAAGTAAAAGATCGACTCTGTTTTTAAAAGACTCTGTAAGACGTCTTCTTCTTCACTCGTCGACACTGCTTCCCACTCGGAAACAGTCTTATGCCCAATTACTCTGTGATATGGAGCGGGTCCGACTATCGAATACAAATCTTTAAAGGTCGTATCTATGTCTATCCCAGTCAAGTACATCGACCTCCTCAAACTTCTCCGTTTCGAAGGCTCTGCCATCGCTTGTTGTCGTAAAGGGACGACCGGGAGTTTCGTCTCCGAGCGGATGAAGTCGACTTGGATATGGTCCAAGTGTGGTCGATTATTTGAACCTTCCTTTGGAGTCTTAGAAAGTGTATTCTCTGCTATTGGAAACGCCATCTCGTCACTTCCATTATGATTCTTAGGACTTGTAGAATACGTCGTCTCTTTTATGATCTCTTTGGTCTTCTCGTTCTTTTCTATAAACGTTTTCTGACTGTCTGGAGTCCCTTTCACAAGTGATCCACTCTCATTCTCGGTGGTCTCCGGTATCTCCAGTTTCATCTTCTTTCCCATCTTCCTTCTCAGTTTTGGGTCGATCTTATCGGTGACAATTCCATCCACTGTAGATGTCGTCTTTTCATGAACTCGATGTCGTGGGGACGTCTTCTCCTTCTCTTCAGTTGTTTGGAACACGTCCAATTGGGTGTATGGGGACAACGAGAATCTCGGCGTCTTGTCATTGGGTTGTGTGACTTTGTAAGCTGTTTTTGCCTCTATAAAGAGTCGGTGGAGGGCAAAGAAGACGTGGAGATCACACGATTTGAGTGGGATGTCCTTCTTAATGAATTCGTTGATCTCTTGGATCTTCGATTCCGTCGACACCGTCTTGTAGATGTCTTGGAGTGTTGGAATTTGTTGTGCCAAGAAGTCCTTTAATTGATCCAATACAAAGTCCGACGAATTGGTCGAGACGTTCGATATCCCCTGCAAAGTCTTCGATACTAAAACAAGTCTCCGTCGTCCTTGTGATGACAATTTGACACCGGGGTAGAGCAAGTTATTAGCGTCTGGAGTCGCAATGAACGCGCAGATGACTCTTAAGAATAAGATTCCCCCGACGAGCTGTGACGGTAACAATTTGTCATCGGGGTATTTAAGAGTGACTAAAGTCCATAGTAAGTTACAAATCGTGTTACTTTCAATAGGGAATTTGTTCTTATTTTCAAGAAGGGAGGTGAGGATCTGTGTAATCTTTGTGACCAAGTTCTTCATATTCATCGCGATGACCTTCTGAGTCTCCGCGCGTTGTGTTTCGCTGAGTGAAAGGGCTTTGTCGTCGCGCAAGAGATCGATCTCATAAGACTCCGATGTCGTCACCATCTCGTCGATAATTGGCGACAAGATCTTCTTCGCGAAGGGTTTGAGGACCTTTTTGAGGTACGCCGTAGTCACTTTAGTACACAAGTTGTTTCCGCGAAGCAAGTTTTCCTTGTTAGTGGTCTTCATGATTTCGGATTGAATTAATGAAGCTATAAAAGGAACTATTTGGTCGGTTAGGGATAGGATTTCTACAATGACTTGGGAGTATTGGTCTTGTGATGAGCTCTGAAGACTTTCACCGACGACACGACACACATTTAAGTCACACGAAAAGCGATTGACAAAGGAATAATAGTTGGAATACACCCCATTGAAAAAGTGCGACTCATATATAGTCTTTTGGTCAAAATCTAAATCTCGATCACTCTTGGAAAGTGTTCCTTTTCTCATGAATATGGGGCTCTAGTTCTCAAGATTCTCAAAATGAAATACTCAATGGAACGATTTCTGAGTGTTCCAGATTGTTTGTCGATATATTTATGTTATCAGTTTTATTTTGATTTTCGGGTGTATTTGTCTTTTTTTAACGGAATCGAAATTATCTGTTAAATCGCTTTTTTTATTTTTGTAAAACCTTAATTATTTAAGTTATTTTTTATTAAAATCAAATAATTGAAACTTATTGTCAATTTTTCGAAAAAAATAGTATTTATTCTAATTATTTACTATTTTTTAATAATAAAAAGAATTTTTTTTCATTTTCTATTTTCTTTATTTTCTTGTCAACATGAAATCGTTAAATATTTTGTAATGGTTTTGTTTGGATTATTTTTACTATTGAAATTGTTTATTTTACTATAAAGTCTGATTTTTAATCAACGATATTCCAAAAATACAACAAGGAAATTTACTATAGAGTCATTTGCTAAACGTTGTCTGGTCTGTAACGTTGTCTGCCGATTTTTAGACCATTATAAATGGAATATTTCGGGAATTTTTTTGAATAACCCCAAAATCATTGTTTCAATATTTTTCCCAGTTTTTTTTCATTTTTACCTAATTCCCGTTTTTTTAAAACAAAAATCAATTATTTTTTGTCAAAAAGACAACGTTTGGGGAACAGACAACCTTTATCGACTGACTCTATCTGTTTTTTATATTATAATATATAGTATCGACCATCGCTAATTAAAAACCATAAATACATAATAAATTTCTTATTAATTTTTACCATTTGACATTCTCAAAGAAACGCTGGTTGTCAATCTTTTTCTTTGCTTTTCAAATCAATTTCACCCAATAACAACACCACACAATGACACTCTGTGGTTAACCACCGTAAATGGTCTGCCTGTTGTGTTAATATTATTTGTTAATATGCCAGAGGAGGAATTACAAATTCCATATTTCTTGTATTCCTTTTTTGGATGTATAATATGGTTAAACAATAATAAATTTTAAAAATAAAACAAAAAAATTATTATTTCGAAAAAAAAAGAAAAAAAGGTATTGATTATAATTAAAAAACTAAATGTATAGTTAATTTTTTTCATAGTTAATTAAAAATCGACTTTATATTAAATGCGGCTGTAGACCCTTTTCAAAACTATGATAATCACATTCAAATGGTTATGACTGAGTTAACAACAAACACTCAAGCAAAATGGATGATAATTACAATCAAGTATTAAATGAATTATTCACCGATTCGTTTTACTTTAAAGAATCACTTTTACTGGTAAACTATGAAGAGTCTATTTAGACTGGACTTGTTATAAATTCTGGTGATGGAACTGAATGTGTTCCAATAATTGATGGCAAGATAATAAGTAATGCATTTTCAAACAGTTCTCTCTAATGGAGCGATATCACAACACGATTAATGAAGTTATAAGACACCATTTAAGAATCTATTCTCGACTTCTTTGAGAAGAAAAAATGAATTACCCGTCATACCATGACGGGTTTACTCGAGTCTTTGCTATAAATACCAACACACGTCACTCCACCTATACTATACAAATACTATATTTAATTATAAATAATATTAGACATTACTTTACTTGACATTGAAAGAGTCTTACAACGAGTAGTGAACCGAATGACAAAGAAAACATATCAGTTACTACTGGGTATTGGTGCTTTGACCAATCCATTAGCGAAAGTGAGGACTTTTTGCATTTGTTCGTTATCGAACCCTTCGATAGATTTAATCAGTTGGAGTATTTTAGTGTGTAAGTTGTTGTTAAAATCACCGAGGACTTCGTCTGAGTCTTTCCTTGGTTTCTTCTCTTTATAAGACTTCTTGATTGAGTCCAACTCACTTCTGACGGACTTCCTGAGATAGATTTTGTCTTCTTCGATTGAAGCAATTTGAGACGCCCGAGGCATCCGAACAGTACGTCGGTCTGTTATATTCATTTTCTGTCTTTCTTTCTTCGGTTCGTGGACTTTGAGGTATTCGATAACTTCGTCCAGATAGATCGACTTCACAAACTCCTTCAGTCCACTTTGATTCTTGTCTTCGGGTACTTCGGGCTGAATGGGTTGAACTTTGAGACTGATCGTAGTCGTCGGGGAGGGTTCGTCGAGTTCGATAGATGGAATCACTTCAGTGTGAAAGGGTGAAGTGTCTTGGTGAAGTAGAACTGGTGGGGGAAGAGCTGAATGTGGCGGAGACTGGAAAGTGTTCTCCTCGTTTGATTTTTCTAGACGGATTTCTATTACTTTTGTATCACTCACCTTCTCCATTTTGTTTTACAAATTTTTGTTTTTCAAGATGAAAAACAAATTTGATTCGTGTTATGAAAAACAAAACCCTTGTTTCTCTCTTTTTGTTTTTGGAAATCATTTAAATAATATATTTTGCTGTTCTTGTGGTTTGTATCGTGTTTTTATTGATTTTTTTCCAATTTGTTTGAAATATTTAACTTGCGATTGAAATTATATCTTAATAATAATAAATATATTATTTTTGTATTATATTTGTATTGAATGTGTACCAAATTTAATA